TGAGGAGATGGTGGGAAAAGTAATATAGATGGTCGTGTTTTTCATAGAATAAAATTATTTAGTTTTGGAAAATAAAACGAGGTTTGATCTATTACGCTCGCCCTAGTTTTTAAGTCAAACTAACTAATATTTCACCACTGAAAGGCTTTTCAGCTACAGAATTTTGTTTTAAACAACAAATAACACATGAATTTTCCACAAGCCCTCTGGGATGGGGCACAGATCAGCTCATGGAGCAGCACACAACGGCTGAGATCATGGACGGAACACTAAGCTGAACCTTTTGTTAATGTTTAGGTATCTTCAGTTGATTCTAAAAGTCTCCACAACAGTATTTTGTGGAATCATGAGTTAATTGTCTAAATTGGGGGAATGCCAACAGCACGATATGGCTAATTCTAATTTTCATTTGAGTTACAAACGACAAATGAAAGGGAAATATTTATTAACATATTAAAAATGATGAGTACTAAATGATGCATTAGCCCTGAGTACAGAACACAACAGATGGGTGATATAACCTTTCGACTGTGTTGTAGAGTGTTGAAGCAATAGCTGAAGCCAGAGTTTCTCTAAATGACACCCTTTGGTGGGGTGAGGACAATGTGTCCCTGTGTGAGTTTCTTTTTTTCCTCTTCCCTCCAGCCGCAGCTACGACTCATTGGCTCTCTTTCTCAAACACAAGCCAGGAGCCAGGAATGCTATTTGTTAGTGTCCCGCCACATCAAGGGGATGAGTGGGTATTACTCATTTTGGGAGTGTGTGACTGACATTAGCTGTTCTCTTCCTCTGCCAACTTTCTAGCTGAAACTGTCCTTCTGCTGGTTAAAGGAAGACTATGAAAAAGTGAGGAGGAGGGAAGCCGAAAGAAAATCCGGTCTGCGCTCAGTTTTCACTGCAGGCGTTGTTGCCTGCTTGCTCCTCTGTTACTGCCACGCCACTTCAGAACATTACCTACCATCTGAGCCACGTGCTGGTGGAGTTTTTCTTTGACTGGATGTTCAGGTGCAATGAGACTATTGATCCAGAGCAGTGCTCTTTGGAAATAAATTACTAATTTCCACAACTTTCACAGCAGCTTGATTAATTCAAAAGACTGCATTCAAAACAAAGCAATGCCACCAGCATTTTCAGGGACTATAAAGCTGCTGGTAGTAGTACTTCGTAACTTAAAATAAGCTTGCATCCTCCTCAGTTTTTAGAAAACTCACCATTACGTCCTCCATCTTTTCCATGGCCTGCGTGAAAATGCTGATTTTAGTCGCTTAAACATCTGACATTAGTTATCTGCCAAGCTGCTTTTTAAAATGCTGCACGAGCAAACAGAAACAGACAAAAAGGAAACAAAGACTGGGGGTACTTTGTTTTCTGTCACCTCTACAGATTCAGATGTTTGTCAGAGGGCAGCAGGCTTTTAGTAAAAATGTCCTGTGGCGAAAACATCTGCAGTAATCAGACCGACCAGTGTCCGTTCGCTTGGAATGACACTGTCCAAAAACTAAATAAGAAAATGTAACATAAAAAAAAATGCGTTTTTGCTCCCGGAAAGCATTTTAAAAATTAATACATTTTTAAATACAGAAAAAGAAAGTCCACAAACATGGATGTGCACAATCATTGCCTAAATGAGTTACGCAGTGGTTGTTAACAAATAAGAATTTATTTGGTAGTGGAGAGATATTTCCAAACAACCAAATTATCAACAAGTTGTTAAGCAAAGCATCTATTTTCTTCCCACCACAAAGGAAGTTTTATATTAAAGGACTGTTCTGGCGGGACATTTCAGTGATCGTAACCTCTCCATTATCTTTTGATGAAACCAACAAAAATATCATACAAGTATTATTATTGTTTTACTGCCATTCGTTCTGGTCTATTAGCATCTGTGAACCTCATTAAGTTTGAGGGCATTTCTCCCAGAAATGTTGTCATCAGAGATAAATGCCTACTTGGATCCCCGTCTCCAGCTAACAGTCAATAAACAAAATTTCTCATGCTGACTATTTTCATTTGAACAGGAAGACTGAGGACAAACACATCCCCAGTTGGGGGCCAGTTTGCCAAATGGCTTCCCACAGAGCTCCAATCTCGCCTAGGGTGAGAGCGGCGAAGACAGAGTGGAGTGGTTTTAACTGAAGACCTGCTGCTTTGGCTAAATGGTAACAGAAAAGTCCCACACTGTTTTGGGTACCTACTAACTAAGACCCAAATGTAATCATTGTGGACAAGAAAAGATCTGCGGTTTCCGGAGGAGATGGCTTCCTGGAGGAAGAGGACAATACCACGGTGGACGCACATTGCTGAGGGTATGGGATGCTTAAGGGAGAGCACAAAACTGTACAGCAGAAAATAAAACACAGATTCAAGTGGAGTAAAAACTCGCCAAACCATAGAGCTGATTTATTCTGCTATGGTTAGCCACCAACATTAGTTTTGTTTTTCTTTTAGGTCTTTGCACTTTTATCACAAAGTGTTGCTGTGATAAAGAATTATTGAAAAGTCGGGAGATTAAGTAAAACTTGGAACTGAATTTGAAAATAAAAAAAAAGTCCATTGTGTTTTGGTAAAAAGTCTTTAAATTCAACCAGTGGTATCTAAAAATCGTGCGTATTGTCACACTGAATACACTTCCAGCGCTGAACATTTTCGCACCCACTGTCAATATCTGCCTCGCTCCGAGGAAAAAGTGTCCCAACCTGCTGTGCTTTTGAAACCCCGGGACAGCGTCAATGGGCAAAACACAAAATGGTTGTCCACAGGAGAGCAGCGGGTCAGCGTGCGCTGGTGTGTGTATGCGAACCTGGATCAGTGAAGACCCCCTACCTGGGCATCGCGCTTCCTCAAGTCCTGGGTGTGCTGCTGGTGCTGTTGAAGGGCGGCCCTGGCCTGCTTCTCCAGGCTGCTCACCTCCCGCTGGTGCTCCTGGACCAGGCTGTCCTTTTCGGCGCTGTGCTGCTGCAGTAGCCGCGTCCTCTCCTGCTCGTGCTGCGTGCGCTGCTCAGCCATCTGATTGGACAAGCACGCAAAGAGAGACTTCATCAGCCAACACATACTCAGAGCAACCCTGTCGTCATGACAACTTGTCCATCTACATATCCATCCATTCCGTCTTCGTCCCATTTCTTCCACCCCTTTCGTCAAACCAAAACACTCGGGCGTGGAACCCATTTGGAATGTTTGGGTGAACGTGCGAAGAAAGAAAGAAAGAAAAAAAAACGTTGAATGTTCCTTCGCCTCCTCACGGCGAAAGACAATGGCATGATGTGAAGTGTTTACACCTGACGTGCTCCCCCACTTGTCCTGCTAAGAGTAAAGAATGACCCGCAGTATCCCATTTCTTTCGCTCCTTAAATCTGTCCCCCTCGCCCCATTTTGGGATCGGCATATAAAAGAGCAGTTAGTTTGTGCTATGCAAGAAAGCTGGTAGGGGTTAGCCATCTGGCTGCGGTAGCTACCCGATGCCCCATGCTATGCGCCTGACAGCATGTGAAAATCGGCTTAGGCAATGAATATGATGATTATTATAGACCCAAATCTGAAAGGAAAAATGCTTGGGATGGAGGCGAGGGCATCGGCTTTGGATTCGAGAAGGCTAAAGGATCGTTGAAGCTCCTTTGAAATATTTGTCCTTAATCTATATCAGATTCTGCATTCTGGAAAATTGATAAGATGATGCTTGTGTAACAATTAGCAGACATAATGCAAGGGTGATAAGAATTAAATCCACACACTGAAGATAGCACGAATCTGTGGAAATCCCAACAGAAAGGCTTGCTTCAAATACTGAAATATCGAAGACTTGAGCCTCACTGGAGTGTCAACCCCCTGCACTCAATATAGTAGAAAAATGTCCGCTAATAGGATGAAAAGGCCGAATTTTTCAGGATTTAATCAACCAGTCAGCTGAAGCAAGTCCGTATTCTCCACTGGCTGGAAGCGGAGTCACCTGCTGAGTGGGGAGCCTTGACAGTGAAGCTCCCAAACCCAAGCTTCCCAGACTTTCCCATGGTCTGCTCTGTTCCCACTCCCCCATGGCGGAGGGACAAGCGACCCCCACACCATCCCACCGTGCTGGCCCAGCCAGAGCCCTGAAAGGACAGCAGGGGCCTGGGGCCCATTTGCCTCCCTGCTTTGAAGCTAATCCCTTGCACATTGTGCATGACGGCACCCTACCTGGTCTGCCAGAGAAGCGGAGATCGGCAGCCTCTGTTGCCCTACGCCTGCTCTATCCACGGAGCTATCTCCGAAAGTTGCACGCTATTCAGAGCAGGTGATGAATGAGGGGCTATCTACAGGAAGCTGGATTCAGTCTCCACAACTGAGACTGCGGCTACAATGGACACTTCATTTTGGGAGAATTTACTCTTCAGCTTTTGGAAGAGCTTTGCTTAATATCTTTAAATAAAAGGCAAAGGAAGGATGCAAAGCTGGATGAAAATGTATTTTATCGGTGGCCGAGTGGAAAGGTCAGACACACAGACTCATCTACACTGAATAAAACTCACACACATGCCAATATCCTTTTAGCAAAGAACAAGACAAAAGACCAACACAAAGCAAAACATGGGCAACCTCCTCCACATGCCGCCACGGGCAATGCTGCCGCTGTCCACGGAAAAATTCCCCAAGCATGTAAATTTGTGCTGCCTTTAACGCCACTTCCCCAGAAATACATGACAGTTACGAATCCAGACAGAACACGTTGTTCCACGTGGACAGACAAACTCATCGAGTTACAGCTGACGGATTAATAAACAGGCACTTGGTTCGAGAACTCCCTAGCAGGACAACGGGACACACCGTGACAGAGATTCGGGGAGGACTTCCTGGCTTACTGCCCGCTCGCATTTAAAGTCTTGAGCTATTGGGGCGGAGGGTGAAAGAAATGGGCCAGATAGATCCTTGTCACAAAAATCTGGAGAAAAAAAATCAGACAGAGCAAATACAAAGAGAAGAGGGGGTGATGGAGAGCAGACTCAGCAAGGAGCCTGGTTGTGACATCAGAGAGCGCAAGCGTGCAGTGGAGGATGCTGGGTGCTGCGGCTCTTAAAGGGGCCGGCGTGGCGCTGGCGAGGGAGGACTGCCACAGTCGCGGCGCAGCGTGGCGCCGTAAAGACAGAGTGGGTCGGGCGCTGCGCCACAGCACGACTCCTGTCAGCCCCGGCTGACATGGTTGTGTGAGAGCGTCGCACGCATTGAGACAGGACAGTGAGGTAATGGGCTTCTTTCAAGTCCAGGGGGGGTATCTGAAATGCCAGGGACAAAGGAAGCACAGTGGAGAATGGCTGTCTGGTCTCAGCAGGGGATGCTGGGGTGCATGAAAGGAAGGACTTTTTTCACACTGTAGGGTTTGAGCTGCAAATGGCCAGTGAGTGGAAGAAGGTACTGATTTAAAAAAAAATAAAATAATAAAAAATAGAAAAAAAAACTTTTTACTCTGTGCATACATTTCTATGTCCATAAATTAGACGTCTTCATCGTTTTCATTAGAATCTAACAACTGATGAATGAAGCCGTCGAACATTTCACTTAACAGTCAATGTCTTAACGCCATAACAGCTAATTGCTCTCACTACCTCTCTCAAGCCAAGAAGAAAAACTGTGTCAGGTGTGATGTCAGATAGATTCGAGGGTCATCTGACAAACAGCTCTCTCTTGCATAGCTCCCCTGAAGCTGCCCCTTTGTGAGAGTCTGAATAAACTACCTTGACCCTCTGCAGTCTTGTGACAACAATCTGTCTGAGATGGAAAAACAGGCCCGTAGGCCCTAGAGACATCAGGTGCAGAGAAAGAATTTGAAGTCAAGCTCATCTGAAAACACAAACTACATAATGCATATGCAGCATCAAACAGATTCACAGAAATTCATGAATAACAACATGCCGCCACATGCGATACACATTTACCACTTTGTTCCTATATACTTCTAACTGCCTATGTCACCAGCTCTCAAATCAAGACAATCATAAAGACAGAGTCTATGCCTTGGTATGTTTTTATCTTTAAGACAAAAGCCTTCCTGAAGCACTGCTAACTTCATTGTTTCTTCAACTGTCAGCTGTGTCAGCCCTTCCCAAGAGTAAAGGCACATTTTAATATTTCCTGCAAATCTTTGACAGTTCACCTGTTTTTCATATGAGATGGAATTCATAATCCCTCACAACAGCAAACTGCAGCTGGAACTCGAAAACAGTGATATATCTCCACCTTTATTGGATCCTTACATGTGGGTGTGAATGTCTTTTGGATGTAAATGCAATCTGAATAAAGGTTCAACCAACACAGTTGGATTTTTATGACAATATGCATGAACAGCAGGGAGCGAAGTGATTTATTTCCCATCAATTCCTCACTTTTGTTTAGGGATGCGGCTGTTTAGAACTTAAATCAAACAAACACAACATTTGAATATTTCAGGAAGGTCTTTTTCCTTAAGAAAATGTCAATTTCATATCAAACACAACTGCTCAGCCCCCGCTCAAGTATATAATGAAACAGTTTCTTCAGTCCTTGGAAGTAACTGTGGCCTTATATCCATCCATTTACATCAATCTACGACAAATTACACGCAATGTAAACTCCATCTGGCCTGAAAATGAGTCTTTGCACGCTTATTAACACGCAGGTTGGGTGCCAGTTTGGTGCTTGGAAAGCAATCATGTCGTGAATACAGATGGGATAGAGAGAGATGTTACAGCAGTTAGCGCTGCACTCTCCCAGGCTTAAGTCGGGCCACATGGCCACATTATAAGAAGGACATGGGGCGGTGCAACCTATTTTTGTCCATATCACATGAGCGAACAATTAAAACAGTTATTTTCTATTATCTATCATAGGATACGTGAAGAATACCCTAATAAGACAGTGGATTTATTTGTTGAGCTTGTTTGCAAGATTGTGACGACAACAATAACAATGTGATAGCTACTGTACAGTTTCTTTAGTTAGAGGATTTTACACCAATCATTTTATGAATATATTTTCTATAAAAAACTAACTCACATTGTTCTCTCTGAGATCGTGAGATCAGCTTCCTTCAATAACATCCGTTTCTCTAGTTTAATTGATTTTGAAGGCTACGCAGAATTTTGATTTATTTCAATTTTTTGTGAAAATGATTTTTTTTACTCTTCACTGAAGAGGAGCTGCAGAGATAGAATGATAAGTGAACCATGCATTGTGTATGCAGATTGCATTAGTTTTCAATTGGCAATGTTTAAAATATTTATAGAGATGGAATCTAAACTTAATCTAAAGCGTGTCCCTTATCATGAGATATTAACTGGGTGGAACAGATTGGAAGAAATAATAAGACTACTCCAAATAGGTGTCAGGTCCTCCAGGCCAAGCATTGATAAAGGAAAGGTAGCAGTGTGATGGTAGTTCTGGAGGCATGAGAGGACCTAATCCCCTGCCTACACCATTAGATCAGGACCAAAGAATAATCTAAAAAATGGAGGCACAACAGAAAGTTATTGACTCATACGGACCTGCTTCTCATATTTCTTTTTGAGGTCATTGAGTTGCTGAGAGAACTCTCTGGCCTGGTTCTCCCTGAGGGACTTGGAGCGGTCCAGGTGTTCCTCTACTTTCTCCATCTGGAGGCGTAACCAGGACAAGACGAAAGGTTCAAAAGACTTTGAACAGGTGAAATTTGGCCAAAAACACATAATTGGGTTCACAAGAGTATGTTTATGTGGTGATAATATCTAACCTATAGGCTTTTGTCTTGACAAGAATAAGTTACTTAAATTCTAATATTTGAAAAGATAAGACAAAATTCTGCAGAATCACGCCTTAAGTACCAGGCATCTTAAATAAGGCCAGTGAAAAAGTTGGAAGTGGAACAGCAGAAAACGCGAATATGAAGCAGTTTTCCAACACTAACTGACAACACATCAATATATTAACATACTTATCAAAGTATAATGTATCCAATTCAAAAGTGACTATAAAACTATACAGGATAAGTGGAACACAAATCCAAGTAAAACAGAAACCACCAGAAATAAGAAAACTCAGCTTTTGCGTCTCTGGGGGCTTTTTATGGAGAGAAGGATTTAATAGTGTTGGCTCTATTTAAAAGGAAGTTCCTCAGAGTAACCACTTTCATATTTTCTATTCAGGTGATTGTAATCAACAACAAGAGGAAATCTAATATACTTAAATGCCTCTCTATCTCAGCTATGCTGTTTGTGAGATTCAGGAAATGCTTAATGTGCTTTTATTAATCCATTTAGAAGGCTCCAGCCTTCTTTGAACTGCACACGCAACACAGATTTGATTCTGTATGGCGCTTATTCGTTTCTTTCCCCACCAAAATAGGGCAGATTCTGTCCTTCAAATGCAGTCTAAAAGTGGTATGCTGATTTTCAAATGAGAGAGAGAAAGATAAACAGAGGAAGGGAGTGATTCAGATAAAGCGTTTAGATATCACACCATCTGAAGACAGAGAGAGGGAGAGGATGATGCGAGGAATGATAGGAGGATGAGAAAAGAGGGTAAAAACGTCTTTTGAAGTACTTTCTGCAACATTAAAGCCTTAGTAGGAGGATGTGATGCAGCAATGCACAAGCGGGATGGGGAGGAGAGGCAGAGAAGGGAAAGAGGGAGAGAAGATGACAGGGATGCAGAAGAGACTGCTCTCCTCTCCCTTGGCTTTGATGTAGGCTAAGGATAAAGTCAGATTGGAGATTGGGGTGCCAGGGGCTCAGGGGGAAAAGAAGGAGTGAGCAAGAGGATGAACGAAGGATGGGTGGGGGTAGAGGGGTTGGGGGGTATTAAGAGGACAGAACAAGACCGTCTCCCAGTACAAATATTTGAAAGTATGTTGGGCCTATCCAGAAAAGTATCCTCGACATCAATTCAAAGTAAAAAATCTTTTTTTCCACATCAAGGCTTTCATATTTTGGAGCATGATAATTCAGAAGTTGAATGGCAGAGGACATCTTTATTTTAAGGATCCAGATGCAAGCAGTATAATTTATCTTGACTGCCAACATGTCAGTTGCCGTTCTGTGCACCCACAAATATCTGTGCATAAGCTCCACTCCCACACAAGCACTCGTTTTCTCACCACGTGGCCCCAGCACACTGATTAGGTGAAAAACTTCGCTAATCAGTGACTCAAACTTTCTAATCTCTCCAACACGCAGCCCTTTAAGAAACACCGAAAACCACACTCGGCGCAGGCTTGTCAACAGGGTGTGCACACAGCATAGCTAGACTTGTTAACAAAAACTGCCGGTAGCTATACACTCCAGCTGAAGTTTTAAGCAGAGTGCATATTGATTGGAAAAGTCGTCCAATAAGCAGCATCCCACGCAGTGTGGAGTGCTGATTGTAAGACGCTGCCGATGCTCTAATTAGACTGACTGCTCATTGCGCATGACCCGTTCTCCGGTGGAGTCGGTCCAGCCTACGTCACGCCCACTCGCAAGATGTGAGGTCAGTATGTAATAGCATAGAAATGAATGCAACGGCCTAATGAGAGGTATTACACTTGATTTCATTCATTTAGATCAACTAAATAGGAGCAAATGGCTTGAGGGCAATGATGTTCTTGGCTCTTACATATAGATTTTCCAGTGGAAGAGCAGATAAAAGGTGCTGGAATATGACCTTTAAGAGAAATTTATCAATTCCAGTATGTTTTGGAACTCAACAAAACACATGAATCTTATTGATTAGTTGGATGTACATAACACATGGATAAGGCAGAAAAACTTTAAGAATGGATATTGCTTAAGGGCCTGCTAACATACACTGAATTTCAAGTCAATATGCAATGTTTTTCAGCCTTGTGGCCGTGCACAACAGATTAGTTGATCTCACCTGGAGTTTCATGTCAGAATAGGCCTTCTCAGAGCTGAGCTCCACCTGTTTCTTAAACTGCTCCAGTGCCATATCAGCTTGTTGGATCTGTTGCTTTTGGGTCTCCCTTGTTCGTTCTAACTGGCTCTCCATCTCCCTTAAAAGCACACACACACAAACACACAGACACAGAATTGGGTATACTGTAATGAACCACAGAAGTACAATTCTGGTCCAGACATGGAGATTAAAAATGTCAAATTAAGAGAAGCAAATGTTGGTTTTACAAAGTCAGGAGAAGCTGGTTACAACCCTTTATTTGCCCATAATATAACATCTGGTAATCATGGTACTTTCACACAAAATAAAATAATTTATTCAAACCAGATGTCGGGTTTTCTTTTTATTCTATTTTTTTCCCACTTCGTACTTTCTGCATACTGTAAAGAAAGTTAGGAAGTAATTGTGACACACAGTCCTACAGTTTCAGCTTTATACACTATGAACTTGTGTTTGTGTGTGTGTACCACGCTGGTATGCTGCTGCTATTCCTGCCAAATGTCAGGTCATGCAGTTGCAAGTGGAGAGGATTGACAGGCATACTGAGGGGGACAGCCTCATACTGAGAACTGTCAGAGCCCAGCCAGCAGGCCCAGCCTCAACATCATATACCCAGCATCCCAGCAGCTGTCAAGCTCAACGCGCAGGGAGTGTGTGGGGGACAGGAGTGTGTCGGGGCGGATGGATGGATGTCAGAGGTAGAAGTGAAGGTGCCGTCGGAAGGTGTTATTTTTGTAAACCACTTGTGAATTTGCATCCTTCCATCCATCCATCCATCCACCATCACTTTTGAGGGTGGCGGGGACAGGGTTTAAGTTTATTCTAGCTGACATTGGGGGGCGATAGGGGGGCTGCAACCGGGACTGATCAGTCAGTCACAGGGCTGACATGCTCACATTCAGACATGAGGGCAATTTTGATCCATCAATTAACCCCAACTTCAGGTTAACACCCTGAACCTGCTTGGTGTGCGCCTCTTCGGAAATGCAGTGCCCGTTTTGGAGTTCATACTTAACTGGCCATTAACAATCTCATTTTAGTTTTAAAAAAATCTACAAACTTATAACCAACCGTAGCCGGTATGAGTGAGAGTACTACCGCGTGAAGGAGCCACCACGGCGGCTGCTTCCAAAAAAAAAAAAAAAAGAGCTGCACAGTACTTGGTGAGCTCATGTTCAGGCAGTGTGACAAATACAAGGACAAGACCAACAGACTCAGGCCATCCTGCCATCCAAGTGTGAAGGGTGAGATGCACGACAAGCTGATGTGTGTGAAGGTGTATGTCTCAATTCCCTGAATTATAAAACAGAGGTTAGAGTCGCTATCTAAACCTCCTGAGAAAAGCCTTACAGCCTTATGGGGCAGGAAAACAAGAAATAAATTATTTGAAAATTTCCACATAATCCTTTCCAGATTGACGGGCAGCAACAACTACTTCTAGTCCACATTTGACCAAAACACCGCAAATGTTCAGGCTTTGTCTGCACACACCCATTCACAGTTTCCTTTACCAGAATAAAAAGCACCAATTTTAAGTGCTTAGAAAGTCAGAACACTGATGGATAACCAGTGACAGGGAACACAGATGAAGATAAAAACAGCAAAAAGAAGAAGAAAAAAAATGCTGAGAACAAAAGCTGAGGACTGAGAGAGAGAAATGCACAAGCCTTCTCTCCTCTTTAAAGTCGTCTGTCTCTTTGTAATTTTGGTCTCTCTCATGTTGGACATCAAACGACAAAGAGACAGCTTTTTTCCTCCCAATCTTGTGTACTCTGTAATTATTAATCAAACTCGTTGCATGACTGCGTCGCATACTCTGATAGACACAAAAGGATATGTGGAGAGACTAACATGGAAAGAGAAAAGGAAGAGGAAACAGAGAGGATGTCACAGAAATAGCAAGAAAATTTTCCAAGGCAGAGCAAAAAATGAATAAAGTCTGTGTCTCGCCTCAGAAAAGAGGGAGCCTGGATGCGGGTGTATGGGTGTGTGCAAGTGTGTGTACTTTGGTCTTTGTTCATGAGCCACGGTCCCAAACTCCTATGTGACTGACAACTCTTCTCAAGGAATCCAGTAAGACTATGTCGGAGATAGCTACTGGGTTTTTTACCTCCGAGCATGAAATGAAACATCTAATGCAGCTTACTTCTGCTACATTAATGAGGAAAAAAGCAGCACACACTTCCATTACTAAGGTATCAGGACATATTCCTCTTGTAATTTTCTGGTATACCATAAAAAGATGGAGCAAAAATCACGTGAAGAGCAACACATGACATGTTGCACAGTTTAATCATTCATAAACCAAGAAAAAATGCGGAGTCCAAGGTGTCCAAAAGGCAGTACACCTCTAATTCAGTCTGAAGCGGAACCAATTTCAATAGAAATAACCTGTAGGGATTGTTTTTTGTGCTATATCATTCTCGCACACGTGGGGGTGATCTGGCACACTCTTTTTTCCAATGTTTCCTCAGTTCATTGTTGTATTTGTTTATGCACAGCTCACTTATGGTCGGCCACAGCATTTCAATCAGACTGAGGTCAGGACTTTGGGTCATTGAAACACTTAGATACTTTTCTTTTTCAGGATTCTGTTGCAGATCGGCTGATGTGTTTTGGAACACTGTCCCGTTGCTTGCCCCAAATTTAGCTAAGCCTCAGCTGTCAGACAGATGGCCGTTTGACTCTTGAATATTTTTGGTATGCGGGGTCAACTCACCTCCAGCAAGGTGCCCAGGTCCTGTGGCTGCAAAAGCAGGCCAAATCATCAGCTATCCACCCCTATGTTTAATGACTGAAAATACACGTTTGCTTTTCCTAAAACATGGTGCTGTGCATTACCAGCAAAACATCTATACTTTGCGTTTTTTTCATCTTGTGATGTAAGTTTACAAACCAAACGCTATGCTGCCATGCCCATTTTAGAAGGAGGAGGAGACGAGCCACGCTTCCTCAGTCACTTTCTAATTTTGCTGTGACTGAACTCAACATTTGACTTGCTAACTGAGGATTGAACAGGCTGAAATGTAGCCTTTTTTCCCCTTTAACTTCTGCAGTTTCTGCAAACATTGCTCAGTGTGAGCAGAGGGATGACTTCACTTGTTTCTCACCTCAGAATGATGGACTCTAGATAGTTTGTAAATGTCTGGATAAAACTTCCCAGATTGCAGGGGAGCAACAAAGACTTCTCCGCAGGCGTTGCTAAGGTCTTTCCTGCTATATATCATCACAACAGTCCCTTGAGATCTCCAGACCAGTAAACAGTCAAAACCTCTGCTTTTAATGAAACTCACACTTGCTGATCCTTTAGTTGTTTAATTCGTTCCTCAACAACAGATTTTGTTCTGACAGTCACAGTCTTAGAGAGTCTGGAAAACACAGGACTGTGGATGTGAGACTGAGACATATTGTTCTCAAACGCTGAGGAGTGCAGGTGAACACATGGCAACAAGAATAACCGTGTGTGAGAATGTGTGTGGTCACCAGGGTGGCAGACAGCACCATCCATAACGGAGCACCGAGGAGTGAGACGAGGAAGCAGATGAAAAGAATGAAAGAGTTCTGGCAGGGAGAATAAAAAGAGAGGGAAAGGAAGGAGAAGGGTGCCAGCACCAGGGCGGCCCGTCGGCTTTAAATGGATATCTGGTCAAAAAAGTGGAAAGAGAGGAGGCTCAAATTAAAGATGTGCCTTCCTTTAAAGAGGAAGTCCTCTCATCTCTCAATCTTAAATGGCTGTTTACAGGGTAGGAAGAGACGGAGGCTAGGAGAAAGAAGTGTTTGGACTCGAGAGGGTGAAGGAGCTTCCGCCACCCAGCCGCCTGGCAGACAGGAGGGGTGCAGGGATGCCATCGTTTGCCTGACTGCTCCAACCACACAATGCCACATGCTGCCTTTGTAAGAGTGCACCACATGAAGCATATATAGGAACATAGAAACTGTATACATCTAAAGGCAAGAGAGCACAATAGAGCGGTACACATAACTAATTGCTTATGCAAATATCCTTCTCATGAAAGAGGAGCATTTAAGAATTGTGTTGCTAATGTGGGTGGAGGAGCACATTAAAAAAGACTGACAGACAGACACAAATGTACTTTTGCATATGGATGCCTCTGGTCTCTGGTATAAAAAGAAGCAAGACCAAGAGTGTGTGCATACGTTGTGTGCACGAGCCCCCGCGCATCTGCGTTTGTGAGCTCATCCAAACGGAATGATAACGAATCCACAGACACATCAAAGAGAGCCTGAAAAAGAGGGAGCGCATAAAAAGACAGAAAATGCAAAACTGAAATATTCAGCGCCCTCTGAAGAAAAAATAAAACAGGCTTGGTTTTCATCCGCTTCCCCAGAGAAAGAGAGAGGGAGAGAAAAAAGACTGAAACAGACGCAGAACAGAAGACAGACCACAAATAACTGAACACAAAAGAGACGCACAAGGGCAAGAAAATATTAAAGACAGAAAGAGTTGAAAAGAGAGCAGAGAAAACAGCATCATTGAGCTGGATGGCTTTAAAACTGCCTACAAATGCGGCCTGTTTGTAAAAGGCAATTCACGTTAAGGCATGAAACAAAGTGGCCACAAATGCAATAAAAATGAGGCATCAGTATTATCCTTCACCAACATAAACATCAGATGACATACGAAGTCATCTGGGTGCTTGCAGAGAAGAGCTATTTGGTAGTACTGCTGCCAGCATCTTTTGAACTAAGTCATTGTTAGGCTGTTTTGAACCTCTTTCTGCTCTATTTTACTACTACACTACACTACTACTGTTAATCATTCCCACACAGTTAATGCTCCAAATTTAATCCAGCCTACTAACTTCACAGATTTTTATTTCTTTCCAGTTCATTGAAAGAAAATTTAAATCTGAAACTTAGTGTTTCTGGAATAAATATCTTTGTTTTTTTGGTTTTTAAAGCAGTAAAGTGAGAATAATCTGATAGAGTTGTTGGGTTTGACAAGAAACATGTGAAAATATCTCTTTGAGCTTTTCTCACTTGCAATGAGATATTGTGAAGCCTTTTTCCCCATTTAAAGACATCTTTTCCAAAAAAAAGCAAAATGACTTATGTTTTGTATTTAAGGGAGGGGGTGAAGAAAAGGTGCTCGAATCAAAAATGACATGACAGGTGACTTTTGGATTCATAATCTTCCCTCAAAACTGCTTTGCTGAAATTAAACTTTGTTATTAACTACGGACATCAAAGTAGTAATTTTGTTAACACTGGTTAGTGCGTTACCTCAAAGAATGCAAAAAAGAACAGATGATTGAAGCAGGCGTATGTATGTGTGTGAATAAACAATAGAAAGAAGCAAAGTATATGTTACTTTTTTTTCCAAGTCAAGTTCAATCCGTTTCTTAAGGTGAGATGAAAGAGGTATTTCCACATGTTTATCTTGTGTTATAAAGCCTATTCTGAGCAAAGGATCATCCTAAAATGCTGTGGCTGGAGATTTGAGCTTTAAATTTGAGGCTCACCATCTACGGCCACAGAAAGGCCAGGTATTTGCCACTAATAAGACACAAGGAATCATAACAGACAGCATTCAGTTCTGAGGGTTTTCCAGTTACTTCACATGTGCAGTTAGCAACCAATGGAGGCGCATGCAAGTGAAAGCTCAGAAACAGAAATGTCTTTGTACATTTAGCTCTTCATGGCAGATCAGTGAATCATATCACTTCTAAGGAGAAGAGGAATGTGTTTTTATGGGACAAACAGAGTAGCCACTGGAATCGGTTTTTCACTTTTTTTTGCTCTACCACTGAGCTGCTAAAGTTGGTCTTACTGTATTTTCCAAACACAAAATATCAACATTCACATGGTTTTGTTTAAACTGCCAAAAAATAAATTGCAAATTAACATAATGTGCCTTCAATGTACATCTTTATAAGAAAAAAATAATGTGCAACAAAGAAGAAAAAAGGGCAAAAATCTTACTAATGACAGGCTGTTGAACATAGATTTTTTTCTTTTTCTTTTTTTTGTACATTTATATGCTATTTGACTTCATGAATTATGCAGATTGCAGCATAATATGCTAAATCAACAGGGCACAGCTCCCTGAAGCAAAAATGTTGTATTTACATATCCCAAACATAATATGGTAGGTAATTAAGCTAGAAGGTTTCTAATAAATATCCCCAAAGACAGTCTATCCAGATTGAGTTGTTTCGGAGCATCAATCTACTTGGGTATGAGATCATCCTGTTGGATAATATTTGTAATTCAACATGTGTAATGTGAGAATAGACGTTTGGCTATGTGTGACATCGATGTAGCCATGGAAAAACAACTAAAGCCATAACAGGAGATAAGAAAATGCCAACCTATAAATCATGAAGGACGTACTACAGAATGACATAACATAGATGAGGCACCAAACGAGAGGATTGCAACACTGTTTTTCCTCATAAAATATTTCATTTTCTGCTTCTTTAATGTGTTTTATAAAAAAAGAGAGAAACACTGTCTAGATTTGCCCTATTTAACATTCTCACAGTTATGCCTAATAAGAAGCTGAGCCTCGAATTTACAAAGAAGCCTTTTAGCGTTTTAGAGTTCTTTGAGTTGAGGTGAGAGGGGGTTCTGTGATGACGTTCCCCTGCTAACGCATGCTTCTGATGATGACATTTGATTTTCACTAGAAGAGGAGGGAAGTTACCATAGAGACAGAGATCTTCTATGCTACAGTTACCATGAATTTTGCAGAAAATATTGGAAAAACCAAAAACTAGGAGTCGTCCGCGGAGCTTCGAAATATCCACATGAAAATGAAAACTACATTCAGAATAAGACTTACTGCCTGCAGCGACTTTACGTTAACCTGAAAATTCTGTTTGAACATTAACACTAAATTCAAATTTAAGTACATAACTCGCTGATGATTAATATCTACTAAAACATTTATTGTCTCTTTATTGGAATGAAACCCAGTGAAAGAAACCTTTAAAGTTTTCCTGTGCCAGTTCTGTTGTATTGAACTGCTACTTAACCCATCTCCATCTCCCCTTTTAATGCAGTTACCAAGGGAGAAAATATTGAGCCCTGTTGAAGCCTTTCAATATTCAGGATCCGTTCCTCCACCTGCTCCCACACCTGAAGACTAAGTGGGGTTGCAGGCTGCATAGCCTCTTGCTCATCTACCACTGGTCCCTCACTGACCTAGAGAGCTTCCCTCCATCCTTTCCCTGGCATGGGAGAGGAATGCTAAGAACGATAAGGCCACTTCAAAGACACACACAGATGTAAGGCACTTTTCATGTTCACACACACAAGCAAAATAACCTAGTGGATACACCTTTATGAGGGATGATATCGCATGTATGCATGTGGGCACGCAAGCAAAAACGCCTCACAAGTGTATAATAATAACTACACATAGACAGAAGGACATGTGAAATCAGTTTGAGAAAATACATTTCAACCAATATTGACGAATAAAATGTTAGAAAGTAAAATGTGGAGTAGTTAAAAAACATGGTTAAAACAACTGGAAAGACGGCAAGTTAAGACGCCCAGTATGTACGCAAACTATAAAGCCAACATCAAGTGCTGCAAGTCTGGAGGATAGTTTTGAAAAATGCTGAGCTTTGACAGAGAAAGAAAACCTCAGTCTGAAAATAGACTGGGAACCTTTTTTAAAAAAAATGTTGCTGTGTTTTTACCACTCAGGTGGTTATATGTTTTAAAGTTGCGATTTGGAGGTCATGGCTGCAAAAGCAGGCAAGCTGTTTCCCAGATGAGCTCCTCCTCTCTTTACAACCCCCCCCGCCCCTTTGTGGTGCATCTCTCCATCTCTATGCTAATGCCCTGTAATGATCTGAGGCACACTGGGATGAAAGAAGAGGGAAGAAACTTCTCTGTATAGCTTTGTGGTGCTTTATGTTGTTGTTGCTATAGTAACACAGACCTGGCACTCAATTTGAAGTGGCATTGGGATTTTGCATTGCAGGAATAGGTACTATCCTTTTTAATAATTCTATTTTAAATAGAAATTAAGATTAATGTGGGAGGGCCATAGCTCCTATACCTCTAAAAGGCAAGCGGATGGATCAAAGAGCACACATTCAAAAACTCCATAGTATCTGGCAGGTAAAAGGCATCTTGAGCAGTTCTGCTCGCTTAATTTTATCATCTATCCTCACACACACATTCACACACACCTGCGTGCGGTCTTGGTTTGACTTTGAAGTTCTCCTGGATCGCCTTTAAAGGCCTTCAGTGTTGCCAAGGCAGCAGGTAGGTAGAAGACATCAGACTGCTTACTGAGGGTGTGTGTGTGTGTGTGTGTGTGTGTGTGTGTGTGTGTTTGTGTGGCTTGAGAAGTTAATTAGTAAAGAGCCCAAAAGGGCCAGTTGCCGCTTCTCAGTGTTTAACACTAAACGAGGGAATGACTGGCTCGTTACTGATGCTAACAACAGGGATAATTTATGCATCGACTGATCCGTCTACTTTGTTTAAGTCAGTTCTCTGTTGCCACTGACAAAGAAACTCTAAGTAAGCACGACCATTGACGTGCCCTTGTGACAGTTGTGTTGAATGCTAAACGCCACAGCTTTGTCAGCTTTGTGAATGTCAGGAGGATGTCCTAAGGCTACCTACAGTTTCATTCGTAAGGAAAGCCATTTCCATTTCTTTTCCAGACGACTAATCATTTGTTCAGCTCTGGGTACTGAAGCCTTTAAAGGGGACCGGAGCAAAAAGGATTCTTGACAATCATCAGGTCACAGAAAGTTCAAATGTCTCAGGCTGGGTGACGGCACGGTGGCTGACACTGACAGTGCACGGCGGGGGGTGGATCTGCACGCCGAGGCCCATTCGGTTCGCATGTGACGGGCTGTCAGCGATACAATACGTTAACGATACAGTAAAGCTGCCTGCCGATTCGATACGATTCCCTGCTACACAGTACAAACGATTTACAATTCCAGACCTGGTTTCTAAACTTCATAGTATTTTTTCCTCTCTCCTTCCCCGTGAAGGACATATTTTATACATGAGTGTTTCCTTTAAAGAAAAACAATAAATCCACCCTTAAAAGAAGGTGCAGCTCATTATCGCACAGGCAGAGTACTGAATTTGTTCCCAACAAACGCTAAATCATGAAAAACTTTTTTTCACTCACTACATTTGATTTTAATCTCAATCACTATTAAATAAAAATAATTAATCCAAAGTATCGCCATGCTTTGGATTCGTATGTTTAAACTTATGATGCATATCTCCTCTTTACCTGTTGTCTCGATTTCCTTCAATTTGCTGTTTACAAACTGATTCTACACCACCAGATGTCCATATGCTTGACTAAGAAAACGCCAAAGAACAGTGATGGTGCATTCAAGATGCCTCAAAAACAAGAAAAGACTATATCAGATATCAGTGTAGCTTTGGAGTTTGCTGATGTACTGCTTAGTCTAAAATATTTGTGGAAAATATTCTGAAATACAAATTCCAGCAATCTCTTTTAGTGACACACCTGCTGAAGGTGTGGAAGATTGTACAACTACATTTAAAACAGGACATGGCAAATGCCTATCACAGGTTATGATCTGCAAGACTTTCTGGGCTCCCATCTCGAGCTGTTCAGTTCTCACTTATAAAAAAGATCAAAGAGAGTGTGCAAGGATTGGCTTGTTAAAACTAAGCTCCACCTTAAATCAGAATTCATACACACTGTTCTCATGATCAAAGGACAAAGTCAGAAGATATAAACAGCTTTTTAATAAAGTCTGAAATGTTAAAGCCGAGGCTAAAATGTATGATAGTAAATAAATATCATTTTTGGCTTACATTCTACATGTTTCAGTACCAAAAGTGTTGGTTGCATCCCAAAGCAGCAACTTTCAAATCAACTCAAGCTAGATGAATCATTATATTAAATTTGTCTTGGCATAGTATTGTGTTTGTACACAAGCAGCCATTGTGTCTGAAAGCTTTGAACTATTTTCTACTTTTTTTGACCCAGAGGATTCAAGAGTGGTAAAAATGCAGATGAAGACTAAGTAAAAGCCCAAAATGTATTTTAGTCAACAGTATATTTGAACTCTAACTCTATGATCACCGCTTTGACAACTGATATTCAGCTTCTTTAATTCAAGTCAGTTGGGATTTTTTCCCCCCAGTACCTTAATGCATCTTCTAGTTTGGCTATCTTCCTCTTGGCTTCTGTTTTCTCCCTCTCTGCCTCACTGTGAGCCGCCAACACCTAAAAAGAAGAGAGTGTAAAAGTGAGAGACATTTTCTGTGTGGCCCCATTCATATGGCTCCCTCTATTTTCTCCATCACCTTGCAAAAGGTAGCAATTGTTTTTAGAGGGCCTAGGAGAGGATCTATGGCAGGCGCACAGGCCCTTCCCTCCCAAATACTGCATGGCAGCATCCTTCATGTGTCTTTATTTACACCCTGCAAAAGCCAGGTTAAAAAATGGAAATGACTAACAGACTTTGTTTCATAGTTTTTTTCCTCCCTTCACTTTGCAAGAAGAACGCAAGAGAGATGGCGGCTGATTACAAGCATGGAATAAGAAACAGACATCAAAACCAAACTACTGAGAAGTTTCATTTAAATTCCGCTGACCCTTAATAAAGAGCACACAGGCTCACTAAATTTTTGCAGGTGTGTCAGGCAAAGGGGGCCCATGGATACTGGTCTGCTTCATAGTGTAAATGTGGCACTTTGAAGATGACCCAGGTGCACTAGTCTTTAAACCTGATCCTTACCTAAGATGTCTGGTCTGGTCCAGCTCAGATTAATTAACAATGGCCTCTGTACTTTGCTTTATGGCTGCTCTATGACTTTAAAGAGAGTCCCTAAAAAAGCAAGGGGCATGGGTAATTAAGTTTAGGCCTGGGCCTACACTTAAAGGACAGTACATACCTCAGAAAACACAGTATGTTCTCTTTTTGCCTCCCTTTCTCAGTTTTCCTTGCATTGCAACTCCCACACTAAATCATGAAATTACTAGCCTCTTTCTCCTCAGTTCAATGCTCCATGTATCTGTTAAAAACAGCTATCGCTTTATGAGAACTGATGTAATATCTAAAAAGAAAAAATAAAGAAAGAGAGCCACACCAAACAGGCTCCAAGCTTTGATCTGCATTTGACCAAAATCACTATCTCAGGGTTGCTTCGATCTATTAACTGAGGCTATGGAGCACAGAGAAATATGTTTTCTGTATGGAGGATGTAAATCCACCTTTTTCTCCAAGTTGATCTGCAGCTCATCTTTCTCCTGCTGAAACTTTATTTCTTGATCCTGAAATGAAGCATAGTTTGAATTAATGTCATTATTTATAAGAGATGGTGTTTGACACCATCAAAAGAAAAGTTAAATACACTTTCTGCTTTGATCAAACTCTTTAAATCCACAAATGTGGATACTGAAAATCAGACCCTGATCTGTTGGTTTCTTCTATGCTCGCTATCCTGGAGCTGCTGTTTGATCTGAACTACCGTCTTCTCCAAGTCCCCCATCACCTCAGAGGCCTGCAAGAGGAAGTGGATACATGAGGTAAAGATTTTGTGTCTTGTATCAGTCGTCACAAAATTTGGCAGATTGGGCAAAGGGCTGAGTGGTAATATGAACCTTAGCAGCAGAGAGTGCGTGTTCCTGATGAAAGTGGCTCATGTCAGCCTCGTGTTTGGCTTGGAGCTTCAGTATAGTCTGCTCATACAAGTCGTTTTGCTGCTCTTTCTCCTTCTGCAGCATCGTAATCCTGCAAATAGTGAGAAGCTTGGTCCACACTGCACTATCAGACTTTTTCATGCAGACAGTGGGCCACTGGATTGCATACATCCTGTTAATAAGGCATTGGAAATTTACTGGAGGACTTCTGCAAGCATTCTAACATCAAACAATTTGCACAGGTCATGGAAGTGAAGGTGTTTTGAAGATTTCATGTGATGGTTAAAGCCCTTTTCTCACCACTGTATCTCTGTCAAGACAACCAGCTCCTTACCGTCGGTTTGCCTCCTGCAGCTCTGCACTGAGGGAAGCAGTCTGTATCTCCAACTGGGCCTTCTCCTGTGTGACTTTCTGACGCAGCGAGTTGCCCTTCTCCAACTCTACTGACTGCTGCTTCACCTGCAGCTCCAGGCCATGCATCATTTGCTCCTATATGAAAAAAACACATAAAAGTCAGACAGGTTAAAAAAAAATCAGAAAATGCTAAACAGAATAAATGGATTATTCTAACAACCATTTGTCCAAATATAAAAGATAAGTGTTACATATGAAAGGTTTCTGGAACATTTTCATCATCCCACAACCATTTTTATTCGCTGGCTCATGAAATCTACATCAAGGTGAAAATTGAATATAGGTGTTTAAACCTCTGGGCTTTTCTCAGTTAAAGATAATGAGAGCTGGCAGTAAGGCTACCCAAGGCTGTGGTACAGAAAGAAAAGAAATAAAACCAGTTTAAAACAAAATGAGAAACCTTTAATGCACTGAAAACCTTTACGATTCCTGTTTTAAAGAGACAAACAAAGTGATTATAGGTGTTAAAAATAGGTCACCCCACTCTTTGCACACATTGTTGAGTTCCTTTCTGTGGTGGTGTATTTTATATGTCAAAACCTCAATTGGATCCAGATTTTCAATAAGGACAGTGATCAAAGCCCAGCTGACAGCCTCTTCCGGCTCCTTTAGATGAAAACAAAAGTCCCCTCTCTGCCTACTGTCCCTCAGCGGGCTCATGTGTATACGTGCGTATGACAGCGAGGAATGCGGTATGGTCAGGTTGATAAAGGCGATGATGGGGCGCTGATAAAAGATGGAGCGTGCTAGTTGATCTAGATGATGACAGAGGCTCGTGCTGACAGAAGGTGGAACGACAGGGGGAGGAGGGAATAGGGTGTTTGAAAAGAGTATGAGCAGTGCCCCGCAAGGTTGGTGAGAGAGATTCATGTCTTTGTGTCAGCAATGAAGGGAGTTAAGAAAAGAAACAAAGGGCCTGTGTTGTGCTGGGACGCGTGCTGACACTTAGCTCTCTGGCAGGAGATGAGAAGGGACCCGTCTGCACACTGAGGCCTGACTGGGCACACCTGGACACACTCAGCGGGAGCACATTACGTCCAATAATTAGGTGTTTTAGAAGCAGAATTACTTGGTGTGAAGTGCAGACTATGTAAGCTACCTTATGAGCTCCGGTCTCTTTCAAAGATTTAGGATAAAGTCTTTGAAGTTTTAGCCATAAATTCATTTACTATGATGGACGTTTCTTCAGAGCTTTGGTATCAGGATGAAGGCCAGCAACTGGAAGGCAGCCTGCATTAACAATTATTCTCCTGAGGCTTAAAGCTGTAAGCATGAATGTATAATGAGGATCAAACTCTAAAATGTAGTAAAAAACAAGCCCCACAAACAAAAAAAGAAGACTGAGGAAACGTCAGTCACTTGCTATTTTCTGATCAACTTACAGACCTAAATTATTAAGTACAAAAAAAATGACCGACCATGTCCACAAATTATCAAAGAATTCTTTTGACCTACCAGTAAAATATCAGAATCAGAAAATCACTACAACTGTGTTTTTCAATATTCATGCAAACTAGTCTTGTCACAACAATGAAGGGGTCAACTTTTCATGGGATGTATTACCACGACCTTTGTCTGAATATGAAGGACACCCCAGCTTTAGTCAGCATGATACCACATAAACACAGAATGGTGCGAATTGATGTTTTTTTTCTCTAACAAATATAGAGAGAATCCACAAACAAACAAGATCAATATACCTTGAGAAACCCATGGTGTCAAACCTGGCCAGATAAACAGATGACTGCTGAATTCAGTCCAACAGGAAACACAATTCCATAATCATTTCACAATCACCAGGCCATGATAATAAAGGGGTGACATAAAAATCAAATTCATTCTTCATGAAGCAGAGGGGTTCTTGTAAGTGATCTGTAACAGATTTCTGGAACTTCATGTTAAAAAAACGTTAATGTCACAGAAGCGTCTCATTTTAAATCAAAGTTGGGAGGACTGCTCATTGTACAAAAAGTATCCAAATTTGGATATCGGTAAGCTTGGACAAAAAAGAAAAAAAATATGGGAGAATACAACCCTGGTACAGTCAGATTAATCTTAGAGATGGCACAGAGGTGCTGTGGTAATTTACAGGTCAGATCCACTTTAACCATCCTATCCCTAATGTGTGTGTTGGTCAGCTTAGCCACAGAGCAGACAGCAGCTAATATCACATGAAATGAAGCTCGTTCCATTCTCTTTGTCCATGTCTCCTTAATTATTAAAAGGGGGCCTTACCATTGGCTGTGCACCTTTCAGAGTTTGATGCCTCCTAAATGCCAGCCTGTTGACAGATTAAGGCCAGAAGCAATACGTGTTCACATGTGACATGGAATACCGATGCTGATAACAACAATTTGAATAAAGAAGCGCATTCGACCAGCCTCTGGTGTTGATGAGCCTAACTAATGAAATGTTCACAATCCTATTTGAAACCTAAGTCTTTCATTACAACATCAAAGACACTGCAGATTTAGTAGGTGTGTGTCTGTGCGTTTATTCAAGTGTGCACATCTCTGAGCACAATTATAGCAATGAGTTAGACTTAATATAGGCCTGGATCAAAGACCTTTACAGAGATGACAGACATGTGATACTGTAGTTGTATTCATCCCCATGTTGGAAGGTTTTTTCCTTTCATTTAAGCCATGGTGTGACGGACGTATACCTGAAACCTCTGTTGCTTCAAATGAATCTCTGAAAGGCCTTCAAATCCAGATTGGTAAATGCTTGGGCAGTTCATTGCAAAATTATTTTTCTTATATTGGTATTTTTTTCACATGTAGAAATACATTATAAAATCTATTCACTCCACCCTGATGGAGCCCCTGCCTCAAAAGTAACATTGCCCTCCATTACATTCTGATGATTTAACACATTTGAGCCATTTAAAGTCAAACCATTAATGGACAATTTTCAGACTCGCATTTTAGCTGCTAGTTGCCAGTCGTCATAAAAATGTAGCAAAGAAATACAATATTTGTCAGAAGAAATTGGAAGACCAGTGCATTACAGAGAGTGAAGCAACAACACCTGCAGGAAAACACCGGGCTCATTTCCAACCGGGCTCATTTCCAGCATCAAATCCAGGCATACAAGCCTTTTCCTGTACTCACCGTGGCCTGTGACCGAGCATTGTGCTCAGACTCCATCTTAGCCAGTCGGAGGTTAGTGTCCTCCAGCAGCTCCTGGATATTTGCTGTGTGCTTCTTTTGCAATTCAAACTTCTCCTGTTCCATCTCTGTTACAGCGGCATGAAGCTGGAAGGGAAACGTATAACCCAAATATCAGCAATTGTCTACGTATGAAACCACTTGGCCACAGTTGGCCAAATTACCCTCATGCAGTGATGTAGAGGTGACATAAACATGCAACACTATAGTAATAGCTCAGGTACAATTATTGAGCAAAAATATAGAATGGTGAGAGGATCTTATAGAGTCATGCAGGGGAGAAGGACAGAACTGCTGAGAACCTTCAACTATCGGAGCAATCTAAATTGCTTCATCTGAAAAACTAACAGAATTTGCTTAAAGTTCCAAATCTGGCTCCCTGTTTGACCGCAGAACAGTAGAACAGTAGAGTCATGTCCACAAGGCATGTGTGACTATCATTAGTGGTCGTTTGCTGACAAATCTGGGTTAGGTGGGTGTCATTCTTAAGGCAATTACTTAGACAAGATCTGGATTTCAACACCAACCACTTGCAACTAAACTTGGAGAGATAAATGATACACTTGAGAAAGCAACAAGCAATGTGAATCTAACTAGCAAGAGATTTTCCTGCCAAACAGTTGTGAGAATGCTGATCTGCCGAATAAACACACTAGAAGATGCTCAATAAAGTGGAAACACGTGGAAAAATAGCAAAAAGTAGCTGAGGAACACAATAAAACATGAAGTCATCTGAAAGTTAAACAACAATAGCTAAATGATTTGAAACTGTTAGAAATTAGCTTAACAGCTGAGAAGAAATTCAAAAGGATTTTTACCAGACAGAAATGGAGAAAAGAAGATAATTTATACAATGATGTCAGCTCTGGTTTTGTGTCCGGTGACGTGATTTATACACCTTCTTTTCAGTTTCTGATATTTCATTTGAGCTTTGGGATTTTTTGGAGGAGTTTTAGTCTGAAATTTTTTACTCTGAATTTGTTTTTTCATGTTTGCATTTTTCAAAAAGTATATTGTTTTTCTCATTTTTTCTTTATTTCAACTGTTTTTTCTTTAAGGTATTTTTTCAGTGACAGATTTATTTTCCTGTTTAATTTTGTTTTTTGCTGTAGAAAATCTATTTTTAAACTCTGAATTTATTTTGACAGTTTCCTTGTGTTTGTTTTTATTTTATATATGTCTTTAACCAGTATATCTCAATTATCGTCCTTAAAACACAATTCACAACCAAGCATTCTGGGAAATGGAGTTGTCGTTCCCCTACGGTCAGCCTACAAACAGGAGCAGGAAGCCCCACACTCCTCATTTTATCAATCTCAGGTGCTTCACAATCTCTCAGTCAAAATTCTCACATTAAATGGCACATTCCTCTCAGTGTTGGTTCTTGTTTGTGAGTAGCATGTAACATCTTGATCATTTATGCGGGAGCAAAGTTTAATCTTTTCCTTTGATATCTGAGAAACTCAGTTCCGCACTATTTCTCACCACAAGCTAAACAACTCTGAGGATAATTTTCATTAGGATCTTATTGAGCCCTGACAGCTGAGTTGCAGGGAGCTATCAGGCTGAACACTAAAACACACACTGACTTAAGCCTCACAACACAGCAGAGCTTTGTTCCTTGCAGCAATATCTGCACGTCTCTTGCAGACAAACAGCCTTTCTGTGGCTCTGGGCGGCTCTCATAGTGCTGGCCCGCTGAATTTCCAAGACCTATCCCCATACCTTTTTCTCCCACTCATTTTTAAAGGAGTCTGTGCTCTGATCCGATATCTTCCTCAGCTCCGTTATCTGCTTCTCTTTGCTCTCACAGATGACCTGGGATTCTCGCAGCACACTTTGAACTGTGGGAGAGTAGACATACAAGCACACAAAGAGCAGTCAGGCCTTGCCTCGGGGCATGAACAGACGGACCCACACAGACAGAAATGCACTGGTGCGCGTTGATGCGCTGTCAGTAAATCAGAGTCAAGAAAGATTTTGCTTCTTTAAAATGGCAAGGGGGACCTCTCTTTGAGAAGTTGGTCTTTTTCATGAAGTCCTGCTACAGACAGAAGAGGACACCGGAGGAGGAAATGTAAACGATGCGATAATACAAAAAAAAGGTTCTCGTTATGTGATTAAACTTCAGATTGAGCAGCACAGCTGGAGAACATCAGCCCACACTAGCACAATCTGTTGTGGAATTGTATCTGTAAGGCTTTTTACCCCTGAGTGTTCAGAGACACTCTTATAAACATCCTTCCAGTCAACCCTGCAGTCATGTGACCTCTCACCTTTCTTCTCCATCTTACAGATCATTTCCTCTGATTCTTTCTGCTTGGTCCAATACAGGCTCTTCACCTCTTCAATCTCACGATTTTTTCGGTCCAAGATCTAAAGAGTGAGAAAAGAATTTAATCAACTCTCACCTGAAATTCAATAACCAAGTCTTTTATTCTTGAGAAAGTGACTGTTAAAAACTTACTAAAGATCTTTTCCAAGGCATTTTAAAATGTCTTTACTGGTATGATGTCATAGTTATTAAGGCAGGGGATAAACCGCAAACAGGCCTGTATGCCACAAAACCCAGAAGCTACATCTAATCCGTTCACATAAATGTAAATACTGTACAGCTCAATTAAAAATCTGAAAGAAAAACATTATTTCAAAATGTTACTCTAAGGATTTACAAGTGAATTGACAAGCTTGTTGGACACAAAGTTACGCATAGACAGATATGTGTTAAATTAAGTCCATAGAACATGTGTGACCTGATGAGACTGACAGACTTTACATGTGGAAGACATTTTCTTTTTTGTTTTGAGAATTTGACAAATGAAAAGATGGCTATAGCTCATCAAGTGATGACAATTTGTATAGATGGTAGTTTGTGTCATGTTTATTGAAGGCTGGAGCAATCTGTGAGGGCCTGCATGTGGAAATTCAGAGTTCGACGTGGGAGGACTTCTTCCTCATCAGATACAAATGGCAGCTGAATGAACCACCTGTGCTGAGGTGATGAGGTAACCAAATCTGCTTGCTCCTGCCATCTGTGTGCAATTAGTTAAATTAGACTGTGGAGAGTTGGAGCTCCAGTATAAAAAGACAGCGCCGGTCTCTCGACAGCTCAGTTCCATGATATCCATATACATATGTATATTATGCAGTTCCTTTGGAAATGTCTCTATCTGTGGCCCAGATGGCTCTGGACAAATTCAGGTTTATTTTATAACAACATTTTGTCCCATTTTGGAATAAGGATCCACTCACAAATCAATTAAGAGCCCATCCTAACAGTATCATGCAATTAATAACACAAAAATACATTATTCCAACAATGTATGACACTCCATTTCTCTGACTGTTATTGCAGAAAAATGGTCAAGTCCCAGAAGCCGCTTGTTAGCCAAGCCCATCATCATCCCTGTGTGAATGGGATGAGGGAGATGAAAGGACGATTGGGAGACTGGAGCAAAGGTCACAGAACATTTAGGGATACCCAATTTTTTCCATTTCACCACCCCAATGGGATTTTCTTTTTAGGATCCACCAAACAAGGAAAAGGCATTGTGTCAGACTTGGGCTGAGTGCACTACATGCTGGGAAATAACTGTTTTTAGGCTGCCTATTTTAGCTCTTTATTAGACATCCTAATTTAAAAAGAATCAAGTATGACTGGTCACATTTTAACCAGTGAATAGAATAAAGAGCAACACAGAGAAAAATCTGTAAGAGAAACAGAAGCATATGGTCTGCGTATAAAGAGGAAAAAACATTCTCAAATAAAAGCCGTTATAATACAGTCGATGGTGATCTTCTGTTTTTCTGGGTTTGCAATACAATCTATTGCCTCTGTCTGATCATTGGCAAGCTCTGAAAAACAAACAAAACAAACACACACACGTACACACAAAGAGGTGCCTCTTCATCTGAGCTATTTAACAATTCCATCAAATCATTAGCCACACTGCAGCCTGTTCCCTGATTAGCCTATTGGTTTTAAGCCCAAAGATGATGACCAGTCGCTTTTCAGAGGCCTAAACATCATTCGTAAGCAGACTAATTAAAACTGCACCTAGCTTGTCCACCCTTCATTAGGCTTGTCAAAGCACATCTCTGAAATCCCTGCCCTTTGAAGCCGTAAGAGGGAATAATGGGTGAAATTCCATGGAAATTAAATTGGACGTAACTTGCAATCTGTATGTAATTAAAGAGAGAAAGAGCAAACGAGAGCAAGCTGCCATCCTGTCTCTTGTCAAACACAAAGGAGCGCTGGGCATCTTGAAGTGGAGGGAAAATTGGAGTGTTTTTGTTTCTGTTTTATTAAAAAGCCTCTGAAGCACCAAAGGAGAGCCATGGCGAGGAAGTGACAGAACGCAGGAGCTTGATCTGCAACCCAACTGACGGGCACCTCGTGTGAAATAAAGCAGCTTCACTTAGGCTCTCACCAGCTGATGAAGGGCTTTGAAGAGATTATTATTTCATTGAACAGGGTAAGAAAAAGAAAGTATTCATTTACTTCTCATCAGCCACCCAGTGGAATACAGATCAAGTTACATAGCAGATTTACAATATCTGCAGTGAGGTGGGATTTTGTTCACGACAGCAGTTCCTTGCAGAGTTAATGTCAAACAGACAGCAGCTGCATGAAAAAAATCATACTGCCACCATAGCGTCTTCTGACCTTTCCTACAAAACAGAAACTGAATTATGATCAGTGACCATTTCAGATAGCTGACCGTGAATATCAACACTTTACAGAACACGCACTGTACATCACTTCCCAATAAAGGACTGAGAACCATGAAACATCTGGTGCAGTGGAGGGGGGTGCTGGCTGAGACACAGGCACCTCAGTGTTTTCATATCTACCTTCTCAATATCTGCATCATGTTTCTGCTGCATCTTCAGTTTTTCCTCTTGATGCTGAGTCTCCAACATTTTGAGCCTCATCTCAGTCTGAAAACACAGAAATCACAATGTTAAAGTTATTTCAACTCTTTAAGCTTTGATCAATGAGGTAGCTAAACCACAACTATTACAGAATTATGTCTCTGTCTAAAGACCGATGATTGAAGATTAAATTTTCACTAAAACAGCTCAAAGAAGATAAAGCACAGGCCAAACTGAAAATTCAATTAGCATATTGACATTTTCAATGGACCACAATTATCTACACACACACAGAAAAATAATTCTGCAGTGTGGCGGCATATGTGTGTGTGAGTCTGTGACAGACAGCAGGCAATTCCATAGAAATTCTGCATTCATTTGAACCCAGTAATTTAAAAAGGTTAGTATTGTTATGAGCATGCAGAACAAAAAATGTCCTCCCACTGAGGGAGCTTTCAGGTCTGATAAAATTTCAGTTCACTTCAATATTTTTGGCTTAAGAAATTAATTTAATATGTAAAAACAAACAAAAAATCCTTTTCAGATGTGGAAAACAAATCGGATTTTAATTACTATTTAATTACTATTAATTATTTTCTTTATGATAAGATTGTAACATTTATTAATTTATTTATCTATTTCAAAGAAATCAAGACTAAAAATAGTCTTATAAAAGGTAAAAATACACAATGATCACTTATCTTCGTATTTGTCAAAACAAGACTATATCTTCTAATCAAAAAAGATATATAAACATATATATATATATATATTTGATGAAATTAAAAATTTATATTCATCCCTTGTTTCTATATGTATTTTCCTTGCCAAGACCATTTGTCTGTGCTTTCCCTAAAGCTTTTGCTTTGATGAATCTGCCTGTTCTCTTGTTTTTTTTTCTCCAAAGAATCATGTTAAAAATAAGGCCAGAAGCTAAACAACCTTCACTAATACCATATGAGACTATGGAGGTTTACCAGCAGGCACCATGTGAGTTTGCTGTGATCTGTAGCAGCTCAGCTGCAAACTGTAACCAAACAAGAAGCCAAAACTGTCCATCTCTGTTCGGTTCTGTTGTTGAGGTGTCCTCACTGATTAAGTTCAAATGGCATCAACTGTATGATCTGAATCATGATGTCAATCTGTAGCGATATTATTTAAGTTATTTTAACGCATATAAGTAAATATAATGGTGACATCAGCAACACACTGGAAGCAAAAGGAAAACATATTAGCTATGCTTTGGGTGGGAAATATAGAAAAATTTAGAGCGGAAGTTTTGTTCAGAAGTCAGCAATTCCCATCATATTCTGATCCCTGTTAAAAATAAGAAAACAACTAAAAAGCATAAAATGCTCCTGGATGCTTCTCCTCATTACTGCACTTGAGCTACATTCATAAACTGTATCCTTTACAAAGCTCTGTTTAGTGTTCTTTTCTGTCTTCTTCGTCTTTTTCATTCTTTACCACCATTTCTTGCGCAATTGAGGAGACCACAGGAGACCTGTCAAGAGTAGAAAAGAAAGGCAAAAAGAAGTGAGAGAAGGATACGAAAAGAAAAGGAGGGGAGAGATGGCAGTGATTGAAAAGCAAAAGAGTAAGTAGAGACCTGATTCTGCCGGTGCCTAAAAAAAAAAAACGCATGTGGGGGTGTCACTTTCTCATCCTAGCTTCAAATGCTCTTTGGAGAAAGTTTGTCAAACTAGATCAGGGCTGTTTGAAACTTGTTTATGAAAACGTTGGTGAAGGAAGGAGGAGGAGGAGGAATGTCGTACACCTAAGGCTTCTGAGACGCCTTCAATCAGCCCGACTGGGTGGTAAAGCTTTTTTTCCTTCTCTCTTCTTCTGAGTTGTAGCGAGCGCTGTAAGATGCCATGTTTTTGACACTGCACTTTTGAAAGGATGAGAGGTAAGGGAGTGGGAATGTAAGGAGAGGTAGGAAAGAGTTTTTTTTTTTTTTTTTGCTATGAAAACCAGTGTGTGGTCAAGGCCTTTTTCCTGAGGGGGATGTGTTCGCACACTGTCTGCTAACTGTTTGGGTTTCATAAAGCAAGGTTGCATTTGTGCGTCTCCTTCATCTCGCCTAAAATGTAAGTTGCCCGGGTGCATCTTTCATCCCCAGTAAGCACAGATGCAGCAGGATCGCTCTCCCCTATCTACTGAGGAGCAGCTCCATGTCTTTTCACAGTCTAAAGACAAGGCAATCTACAGTAGTCCGATCCAGATAATAAGTCTGGAGAAAAACTACCACCAAAATTAAATCTCTAACGTAAAATAAAATGAGATATTTTATTTTTACGTGTGTACCGTAATTGTTTAAATAAAGAAAGTTCAGAGACAATTATTAGAAATTTTCCAAGAGAAGTAAAGAAATTACAAAACAATACTACAAAAATCAATAACTATTATTATGAAACACTGTAGATTGCCCAGCCTGAAGCACCATCATGAAAGCCAGCTGTAGAACTAGTCTCCCTTAAACTACTGAGACTCACGAGGTTACTCTTTTTCAGCTTTCAAAAGTGATCACATAAGACAAGCCATGGCCCTCTAAATCACAGGCTCAGAACTCAAGCTCCATCCCAAAGGATTCTTAGATTAGAGAGACTGCATCATTATGGCATCAGAAAGCAAAGGGGTCTGATTCCCAGTCAGGGGCTTGCGACCATTAGAGCGTGACTGCTTGACACTAACACATTCATCTACCAGCCTGCTGCCAACTATCCCTCAGGTCAGGTACCAAAGGAAAAGCTTGAAGTTGGCATGAACACACAAACTCTGAAAGAAGGCCTGTGTGTTTTAATCAGTCTGTCAGTATCATCTATAATCACAAGCCATGGGCCTACACTGAGCTAAAAATGACTCATCAATCACCTTATTTGAATTTCCAAATAAAGGCCCAGCCCTCTTAATACTAACCACTTGCAGGGTGTGCTATAGGATTAGCAGAACGTTGCTGCTCCTGCAAGACATTTTCCACAATAACCCCATAAGCAAGTGCATATGAGTAAGATATGTGACTCAAAGCTATGGAGCTTCTCAGCTGCTGCTCATTGTTCCATAGGAAAAAACCCAGTTTGGACTTCTGTCAGTGCAGTCGGCAGATTAGTGGCAGATTGTGTGAAACCTGAGATGTTAACTAAGCTGCCACCAGCTTGATGACATGTGGCGTGAATTACACTATAAACCTGGGTGACTTTTCAACTATGCTTTGGGGATTAAACAGAGGTGATGTCACTTTGATTTCCCAGACAGAGGATGGACTAGGCTTCCATGGTTCAACAGGAAAGCTTGTATGAAAATGCCCTCTATAACAGGAAACTACAGCATGAGCTGGACCCACTGCCTCCTGATAAGCACTACAAAAAGAGTAAAGCTGTGTCTAGGTAGAGCACGTTTCAGTGGCAGTTTCTCAGTGGCTGTATACATATGCTTTCTACCTAGATAGAGTGTAAATAACCCATTTCCATTAACCCGTGCTTTAGCATGCTGCCGATCAAATGGGCGATTGCGGCTTCGTTCATCATAAGCAGATTCTCAAGCACGTTAGCATTTGCTTATTTAGACATGTCTAATTAACTTCCACAAATACGTACAGAATGAGCTACGGAGCACATTTTTAGTTAAGTAGATATTAAGCTACAGTAGTACACAGACAAGTGAACGAATAACCAATGGAAGGAAAATTCATCCAGAAGTAGAAAGATGAGAGAACGCAGCAAAGTGCAAATCATACAATATTTAACAGTGTTCCACTCAGTGTTTGCTGAGGCCAAAGCAGACAGACTAACAATGCAGTCCACAGTTGTTGCTAATTATTTTTTGGTTGCAAGAATGGAATGGAGGATGACATCATGTATATGTACGTACACACACGCATATATAGTTAGGTTATATACGACAGTGGCCTCTATTTCAGTTCACATGGATCGTTTCCGTTAACACACTTGTCACTAAGGCATTATTAACCTAAGCTCTCTATAATTTCAATAAATGAAAAGGGAAACCCTCAGGTGGAGACATTCTGCCCCATTTGCTCTTGTTTCCAATGTGTCTGTCCCAGTCTTTCTCTGTGGCTTCCCTGAACTGCTTCCCATTTGGCTCATATGTGATTTCAGTGAAAATGGCAGGCCAGTTTAGTTTCCTTCAGTTTTCCATCTAAAAAAGGTACACTTCTACTCAACGCCCAGTAGATGTGAACTAGATTTAAAATGCACTCCTCATACAATAATATATCTATTTATATATTTACAATCGATATCCTTTGGCCAAGTACTATCTCTTGATAATAAACTTCACAATAAACATATACTAGTACTACTTACTACTATGTGCTTATGCTCGTTGGTTGGCGTGTGCATTAAAAAAAGTGTATATTCCCATGGCAGCTGGCTATATGGGGCCAGTCAGCTACTCTGCGTTATGATCAAACAGCATAAGTTGTAGCTTTAATGTTTTCATATTGGAGTTGCTGTTACATCAGTCTACAGATAATTCCCCTGACAGGGTAGATGTGTTCATAGTGTAAATCATTTAGGAATCCCAAATAGTATCATTTTATGGGGCGTCACCAAACCAGACAATTCTTGTTCACAAAGTCCCATGTGTCTCTTTTCCCATTAGCCCTCCCTTCCCTTTTCTCACTGTGAAGCTGTGCAACAGACTTAAGCAGCTTTGTGAAGCTATGATCATTACAGACAAGTCATGCTCAGTTTTATATTTAACACTACATTGAAGGTGAATAGTGGAAGGAATGAGTTGTGGTTTGGGAGAGCCGGGGAGAGGCAGAAGGGGACATCAAAGCATGCTTTCAGAATAGGATTTTCAGCTTTAATCCATATATGGAAAAATTGTCATAACTGGATGGTGGCATTATTTTTGTCTTCTTCCAGGCCTTGGCTATTTCAACAAAACAAACCATGCAGATGGATCTATGTAAATGGCTGTGGGGGCGTCTAATACCATATAGCAGTCATGGGAGCTTTGTCTTCTGTATCTGTTCCACATATGTTTCTACACAAAGGCTGAATGCTGTGAATAGTGAGAGGTAAGGATTTAAGGCTCGCTGGAATGCATACGAAGGTCTGTCTCTTAAATACCATCTACTATTGCTTGAGGATATGGAGAGAGATAAAAGAGTCATTCAGGAAATAAGATTTGTCAAACAAAAAAGCCTTTTGCTGCGGTTCAGTGTCACTACAACACTCATTCAGGAGCATACCTCTTTGCTTTGTGGGCCACGATCATTGGCAAAGGTGCTACTCCTCTCATAGTTTGACCTGAAAGTCTATGGAGATAAAGGAGAGAAAAATTAGGTGATGATGATGACTGAGGAGTTCAAAGACAAGACTTTTATCTTTATAACAATAAATAAACCACAAAGAATCCTTTATGACTTACTGGTGACAAGGGAATGGGCTTCTCCCTCAAATACCTGGGGTTTTCAATCTGAAAGAGTAAACAGAAAAACGTCTGACCTCTTGTTTTCCGCTTTCTCTCCTAACAAAGCCTTACCACGATCAGAATCTATCCTTTGCGTCGAGTTTGCCGTAAACATTATGGAAAGCACATCAAAGCCCAGTTTTGTGGCTCTCTTCCGTCAACTCAAGTCTGTTTAGAGAGACAGAACGTGTCACGCTACTTCAGGGCTTTGTGTTTGAGGCCAGCTCTGTTTCCGCTCCCAGCCCCTCGATGCTGTCCCTTTTGTCAACACTCAGGACCGCTAATCTGTAAGCTATCCTCTGTCTGTTTACCATTGCATGGAGACAAATGTATATATGTCTTTGCCAAGCACTGACACAGCATGCTCTTTGATTACAATATAAAACGCAAGAGATTGAAAAGAGCGAGCTGCTTAACCACCTGAAAGCAAACACGTCACAGTCCATGTGACTTTGCATCATTACATCAATCCAGAAAAACTAACCGATAAAGTATCAGTCTGTTGACAACATGCTGTTTGGCTCGCACTCCCTGACATTTGCTTACGACTCTGTTATGTTCCTATGAACTCACACCGTCGCAAGGCGCGTCTCTCAGGTGCACAAGTCCTGTCTGCGGGAGCTGCCAACGAGCAGAGAGCTCACGACTTTTATATTTAGGTGAGCTGAATCTTGAGATGACAGAAAAGGCGGCCGGCAACCTCTTCAACGCCAAATCTCTTTAACACGGGCGCACAGGAATAAGGTGGAAGAGCAGGGAGTGGAAGATTCAATTCAGTTTTATAAAAAGGGATTTAATGTTACAACATGACACCATCCACAAGAAGATAATCCAGCATAAATGAGAGATGAGAAAATGCAACCTGAGAGAATATCAGAGTTTGGGACTTAAATAACTTCATCTACAGAGGGAGAATAGAGCTACCGACATGTGGAATACTGAAGACCTCCAAACTATGTCAACACTCAAGTAAAAAAACATATTTCAGGGGTTGACATACTGTGAGGCCTAAATAACACAAATTATTCATCTTTACCTTATCCAATACTGCAAGACACGCAGCCTCAGATAAGGTAAGATTACTGAGGGTGCATGAAGGCAATGCAGGGCATGCATTTTTTTCCCCAATTTTTAATAGGTGTTGATCAATCAATATTCTTCCAAAAAGGTGTTCAGGTTTAGAATATGAAGGGAAATTCTTTTTATATCCGTGGCCAGTCATCAGATTTGATTGAGCATGGCCCAAAGGGAGGGAGGACATGCAGACTAAATGCTGTGGTGTGATGCTGGCAGAGTGTGATCCTAAACTTGGACTTGATGCATGCGTGTGCCTGGGCGTGCAATCTTTTCTATGTGCCCACACACCAGCTTCTTTAGGCGCATGTTTGCCCAGCCTCACGGTTGGCACCGTGTCCTGTGTCATTGGGACCTGACAGAGATGGATGGACGAATCCACGAGAGGAATAATGGCAAGGGCAGTCTCTGCAGACAAACACACACAATGAGGGTTTCCTAATTTTAGACTGGCGTTGAGCACTCCCTTCCACTGACAATAGCGAGCAGGCAGAACAGTTTAATGCTGCTCTATTATATCACTACGCTCTCATTAGAGATCAAAGCAGTGGCACCACCCCACAAACTCGAAAATGAAAACAGATGGTTGCCCTGTTTTCTAGGATCCAGATTGCTTACCAACTAACTCAACAGCCTTCAGTCCACCTGGTGAAAAGAATGGCAAACGAATATAGACTTCCTCCTGACATCTAAGCAAAAGCAAAAGATGTTCCTGATAGAATGATGCTTGGCGATGCTGAAATTTTCTGGGAGTTCTTTAAAGCAGTGCATCTATAAAACTTGTGGAGGGTTTGTGTTTGTGCATGAAGGAACATCTGTTGATTTGAAAGATGCAGGCTTGGGGGAGCGTTGCCAAGCAATGCGTCTTATCAGCGTTTCAACACAGAGGAAAGCAGAGCAGAGCAGTGCACGGCTTCACGTCTTCTGATAGATTCCTCAGATTACCCCGGTGCTAGAGGAGAGAGGGAGAGCAGAAAGCCAAAGAAGCATGGACAGACAAGGAAGAAAGATAGCACACAGCACAAAGAAACTGAGAAAGAGTGTGAAAAGTAGAGCTGAGGGGGTTCAGCAAAAATATCAACTTGTCGGCAATGCCAGAGAAAGTCAGAAGCAACAAGCAAGCAACAAAGAGAAAAACACAGTCCGGGTGATGCAGGTGAGGAGATAGGAAATAAAAGACATGAGGGCAGGTTGTTTATCAAGCCTGGCCCGAGTCCTCCAGACAGAAGAGATAAGACAGGTGCGCACATCTTCAATTTCTCAGTTTACACAACCCTCACGTCATACAACGGGAGCTAACTGCCAAAAGGAAGATTATTTTTTAAAGTGCAAAAGTTGAAGTGGGTTTAAGCCTCTTGTTTAAAAGTGTGAAAGCAGAAAATTAGTGCCAAACAGCATTCCTGCATATTCTAAACTGTTTAGGTTTCATATTAAGTGTTCAATTGGATAAGAAAAGAATCACAACATGTGCATTCGGGGTCAGGCAGCATATGTGCACTGCAGTCTTTTGGATGCAAAACATGTGACAAGAGCTTTGAGCTTAGGAAAAAAAGCATTCCTTTAGACATGAATTATTATAGTTTATTACATTAAAAATGATATTAAAAGACTAATTTCTTTGACTAAATTGAAAAGGAGTAATTCTGAAGCAAATGAGATTATATTTAAAAAAAAAAACTGATATTTTGGCCATATGGATGGTTGGAGTTGGAATCTGTAGTTTCAAAATAATGCCGACTTGTTGGAAAAATTTTTGAGCTCTCATCCATGTGCACTTATGCTACAATCACAAGTCTGTCACAATTTCCCCTAAAAAAGTGTGAACACTTCTTTGATCAGACAGAGCACTGATCAAGCTGTGGGAAACAGTGGACGATGAAGACGAGAGCTATTCAGAATAACTGTCGCTGTGGTGGAATGTGACATGTTGACAGCTGCATTTAAGCAAGAAGCTCAAGGAATGCCTCTGGACTCACCCCGAGGTTCCAGCTGTTGAGACGAGCCTCCAGGTCACTGTCATCTGGAGACATTTCTGCCTTTAATGCTCCGTCCACCTGAGGGTGAACAGCAAGATCATGAAAGCTTTGATGCGTGATTTAAATGTGAGAATAAGGGATTATAAGTGATAGACTTTATCGCCTCCTGCTGACGTGCCATAATTCATCTGTTGGCACCAACAAAAGGTTTTTTTTACAGTTTACACATTCATGCTACACCCTCTTGTGTTTTACTCCAATACAAACAACTCTCTACTGCCTCGTTATCTCCATCTCCGCAAACCTTTGCTCCCTTGTTGTCCTCCTCCTAACATTTCAGCACTCCAGATGTTTGGCAGTTCCACTTAATTTCCGTCACGCAGTAAATTCCAGAAGAGGGGCATGTGCAGTTAGGCTGCCTGTCATTCGTGTTTTCTCCTGCCTTTTGTTACAGCTGGGCTCCAGATTTGTTTTCTAAAGTATCATTTAAATGCTTCGAATGGGTTTTGTTGACAAAAGATCATTTTACTGAAGTTGACATGGAGCACTAAGGTTGAAATAGGGGAAATATCTAATAATGCTGAGAGAGTGGCAGTTAAAAAAGAGATGTTGTTGAATGTGATTAGGATCTGATAGAGTGTGTACCTTGGGTGGACCTCAGTGGAACTGCACTGACAGAAAAATTACTAAATGGAACAGCTTAGGAATAAAAGCCCCCTCTGATTAGAATGGCATTATGGTCTCAAAGCCTCACCCTCGAACAAACAGAGTAAATGTTTCGTTTTGGGCTAAAGGAATGCTGGGTATGCGGTTCACTGACTGTTCAAATGCCTGTCACAGACTCTGTACAGCACCAAACGTAGAGACTAAGCACTTTACAACTAAAGTAGGTCTGGCAGCGGGTGTCAGCACTTGCAATATTAACTAATTAATTGACTTGAAAAAAGTGCTACAGAAGAGTACACCTGTACTATAAAATGTTTTTCCCTGCAGGTCGTGATCCCTTTTTCCTCACTTTCTGACCCGTTTTCCTCAAAGGATTTAGTTTTACAACTGAAGCCATAAGTAGAGGTTCTGTTTTCCAACATATTGTATTAAATTTTTTTCTTCTGTCCATGTGGAGAGCCTGTAAGAAAACTGTTGGCTGTGCTCAGAGTAAAGCAGCCAAACCAAACAATGATGAGAGAAAAAAAAACTATGAGGTCTTTAAGGTCAGAGGTTACAGCTGGGCTGCGTATCGGACACATTTAATAATAAAGTGGCAACTGAGTGATATGTAATCATGTTTCATGATTCCATATGCCCCATATTTAATAGGCACAGAGTGTCAGTAGATTGGAAATAATCACATAGTGTGTGTGGATGAAGTTTAAGTTTGGGGTACCTGACAAGATACATTTAATTTTTTATTTTTCCAAAACCTAACTAAGTAGTTTTGTATTCAAATTTTTCTCAACAGTTTCGCAAACTAAATAAGAGTTTTCAAATAATTATTAACGTCCCAACTCCAACTAGGATGGTCGACAATGTTCCACCTCCCAGTCCAGTGGAATTAATCTTGGAGGTTTAAACCAGAAAGAAGAGTTTCCCCAGAAGGTTCAAGGCACATATATGAACAGCAATTTGGAGCTATCTTCAACAAATATATCTATGTAACAACAGTGATGTGGAATTAAGGGGGAGAAAAGTTAAAGGGGTTAAAGGTTTAGTACAACGATTAACGAACCATTCTGGCATCCTGACTGGGTGCTTGTTTTCGTGGGCTGGAGGACATTGGTCGAGAAAGGTTCTTCTCCTCATACAGCTTTCTCCTGGAGAAGAGAAATGAGACAACCAAAGTGCAGAATTAACCCGACAGAATGTGTGCGCATATCTCTGTGGTTTGCTTGTGTCTCTCTCTTTGTATATGAATGTGCTTGCATCGGCACACTGCCTTGACATTTACACAGATTAACATCTGGCACTGGTTGCATGGTTTGTGGTCTACAATGCATCCCATATGAACGATAAATGTCTCTGCCATACTTCGCTCTGTTTCCATGCAAAACAAATGGGGTACCGTTCTTTCACTTGTAGAATCCTTTTATAATCACACACCTCAGTCACCGGCTGTCATCCTGTGCGTCATGGTGTAAACAAGGAGCATTAAGGGGAAAGGCTTTATATCCACTGACACGCATGCAGACAAACACATGCACAGTTCTCAAATTTACAGCTCCCTCTCGCACCACACACACACACACTGTAGAGGGCATAAGTGTGCTAACAATCTCATTAAACACACGCACACAAGGCATTATTAGCCCACTCAGGCTAATTGGATGAAGATGTTAGAAAAGGCAAGAAGACAAGAAGATGAGGGACCACAGTGAAAGGATATCTTCATCTGATGAAGATATTACATTACATTCTAGAGGGCACTGTTTTGCACTTTCAGCCAGAGCCCATGGGGTTTCCTTTCTCCCATGTCATTTTTGGTATCACTGGTAGTGAAAATGCTGAGCCTCATTGGTCACAGAGTTATCTCATGGGGATATCACTGTGAGGCATGGCTGTGGAGTACAAAACACGAGCTAGATCTAAAGCAACTAAGGATGATTAAGAATGGTAACACAAGCAGATCTTTTTTTTTATCTCAAAACTTCAAATAAATATTAGGGAATTATATCAAAATTTTACAAAGGTGGCCTGTTCTGACAAAACTGTTTATAGGTGCGATGACATCAACGTGATCAATACAATATTGATCACGTTGATGTGATCAATATTGATCACATCAACGTGAAATGCATTCATTTAAATAATCACAAACTTTTCAAAATTAGGTTGTTTTCTTACCTAATTATGACAAGAGATTTTAAACACAATTCTTTGTGTGCTCAGATTGTCGACTTCTATGGACGTCCACATGCACACACACACAAAAATACAATTTTGAAACTTGGACAGGGGGCCAAGTTTTGCAATTTGGGCCTCAAAGTCAACAGGTGGATGAGGATAATTGAATCAGATGTGTCTGGAGTCTGAGGCCCACAGATCAAAGCTGTGGCAAGTCAGGCCAGAGCACTACACACACGTGTACACACAAAAAGGAGAACACCATGTAAAGCCTCAGAAGCTGTAGCCTGGCTGATTAAAGCAGCCTGACATCCATACCCCAGCCTGACCTCCAGGTGCAGAGCCGGCGGGCCCCGGTCTCAGCCTCGGGCACCCGAGGAAAAAAGATTGACCTTGGGACACAAACATCCCTGTGCCCCTGTTCACCCTCCACCATGAGCCAACACCACCTGGAGGGAAGATCAGTTGAAAGATTCTGGCTTTTGAGCGAGACATGTGAGGCATTTTACAAAAACACCAACAGTTAACTCCTGCACCTCTAAAGACAATGTTATTATCGCACTAACCCCGAGAAAAAAGTAGACCCATGTGAGGGGGTGTAGAGTTTATGCATCTGGGAAGCAGACGGTTGGGCAACGGAAGGCAGGGACAGACGAGATGAAAGGAAGGAAGGAAAATAAGGCAGGAGAGCATAAGATAGAGGCAGCAGTGGGATGGTTGTCTTATCACCTAAAACAAGATTAAGTCCAGGTCGAAAACTAAATTAAACACTATTACGCCTTTCAATTTTGAATCAAATTTCTTCTTGGACCATAGGACGAAAAAAAAAAGGTTTGCAAGGACATATGACGTGACCGCGAAAATTCTCTATTTATGTTACAGCATTCCTCTGTCTGAACTGGTTATAAAGACAACACAGTGGCTCCATCTTGTGGCCTCAAAAGGAACACCATGAAAACCTAAATAAAAATTAATTAATTAACGGAATAATGCGATTTTGATCGGGACATATCTTACTAATGTCATATGTGAGCATTGTTCGACAACACATAAACAAATTACATCATAGGCCATTCTAGATTGAACACAATAAATATACAAACCCTAAAAAAATTGGTCAGGCCTTTAAATTTGAAACAGCCAAACAGTTTCAAAAGTTAAAAGCACCAGACCGCTGCTGAGAGATCAAATGTTGCCACATCACAGGGAGGGAGTCAGCACTTTTTGCCATTTAATCTTATCTAAATGACATACTTAAAAGGACTTCTGGCCCAGCTAATTTTCCCCGTCAGGATAGCTGGGCTGTGATCTGAGCTTCTTTTATGGTCTTGTTCCAATCAGACTCTATGGCAGTCAGCAAAGTGCTCTCCAAACACCTCTCCATATAAAGCCTGGATAGCAGGGAGCAGGAAGGGCAGTCCCTTTTTGAAGGTAGCCACAACATCATCGTGCAGTTTGTAAATCACAGCTTCTGTGAGATCCTCTAACGGATGGCAAACGGATGAGATCCTTAGGAATCGGGAAGAGCCCAGTCTTCCCATATGACCGGCTGAGAGTAGCTTCTCTCCTGCATCAAAACCAGTTTAAACATCTGTTCAGGATGCCTTCTGGATCCTTAATTGAGCAGGCGTTTCAGACATGTTCCATGTGGAGGTGGCCTCAGGGTGGACCCAAAACTCACTGGATAAATTACAACTTTTGCCCAGCTTGGGGCAGTCTCACGCTGCGTGAGCAAAACTGGAGGAAATGAGAGAGAGGAAGTCAAGGAAGTCTCTGTTGTGCCATTTGGATCAAAACATGGCCCCAGAAATCATCAAAAGAATGGACGCATTAATTTGAGTAATATGGAAATAATTAAATCAGTTAAATCTGATTAATGTCGTAATGTAGCGCTGCAAAGCTAAAAATAATGTACGAAAATAAAACAAAAGAAATTTACAACATTACAAGGATAACACGAAAAATATACAATTATATGGAAATCATCCAACCATGAGCTATATCCACTCACTCTTTGGACAGTTACTCAGCAGGGATGGAAGGAAAGATAATAGAGAAATGGAGCCATTTGTCAGTTAGCCTAACCTGGATGCCTTTGGACTGTGATTTAAAAAAAAAAAACGGAAGAAGAAATGCCACACAGTGTGGCCCGATGGAGGCATGGCGCGTTGTCCAAAAACCTCCTGCTGTGAGGTTCTGTACCGCCTCGTTGTAATGACATAATTCCACAGCCCCAACAGACAGGGCTGGATTAAATATGGCAGCAGCGGCCATGTAAAGTCTTTTATGCATTGCCCTGGTGTATATTAAGCCATCCCCTTTTACAGAGCTGTCTTGTTATTATGCTAATGAGAACATGAAGCCACTGGGCTCTGATTTGCCTCATACTTAATTGGTATGAAAAGACAATGAGCCCTAACAATTGTTGAGCTCCATGACTGCCTGCAGACAGAACGAATGAGTACATATGAGGATGACTGACGATGACATCACATGCTATACACATGGTGGTGTATATCCATAAGGGCAGAAATGGCTTTAACTGTACACATAAACCTTGAATTAAAAAAGCAACATACATTTACTGTGTCCACATAGAAGTGCTCAAAAAGACAAACTGTTGGAGAACTCTATTTTGTGCTTTCTTTGCTCTGTGGGGGTTACACCTAAGCTTCAACAAGTATACGGAGCAGAGGAACAGAAAGATGGGTAGAGAGGTCCCTCATCCTTTCATACGGTTTTGAAGTATTTCTCTTTGAAAAGTCAGAACGGACAGCTCATGCCGACTGATGCAACGACTTGGCAATATTTTTCACTTTTAAGACAGCACTGCTGAGCAAATGTGATGAACAATCAGTCAGGAAAAAGAGCTGGCGTATCAAGCTTCACTGGACATACACCGTGTCCACTATGGGCAGCATCCTCTATGTCCATCTCCTCATCAGACAGGTGAATTCAGCTGCTGGACAAGTTCATGAGTTCACAACCCATGCGATCAATTTTAGTGACAAAAGATCTGTATTACTACGCTACTTTCAACTATTAAGCTTTCAAAAATGTATATCCCATGATATGACTTCTAGTTAATGAAAGATACTTCATATTAAATGCTATTAAGGAAAGTGTTTATCTTAGAGTTTGAGCTTATTCACAGAGCAGACAAGTCAGCCATCAGTCTCTATTCTCAAAAAAGATATTTATACACTCAACTAAAATACATTTAAATGTTTCAATTTCATCTTACAATCAGTCAATATGTTTTTTTCAAGTCCCTCAGCTAATTTACAGAAATGAGACAAAAGGGTCTCTAAATGCCAAGAATAAAACCAGAAAGGAAGAAGATTAGACGTCTAGCGGTTGACAGGGAACGCAATGAATATGGCTTTGATAACATTTTGAAAATCAGAACTTAAAAAGGGTCAGAGTGTGCAAACAGACAGTGTGGTGCTTTTTAATCAAATTCCATGTTTGTTGCTATGATACGACAACAGATGAGATTCTCACCATGTTTAAAAGGCTGAGCCCAGAAACCCTCCACAGGAAACTAATTTCAGCTCCTTGCATGGGTAATTTCCTTTTATTAGTCCATAACTAAATTTAGTCACGATTGATGAGGGTTGAAACGAAGAGGGAAAAGTACATTTAAAGTTTGGAAAGTGAACTACGTCACTTACGGTAAAAGCCTCAATGAGAGGTCAAAAAGTTCAAATGATTTATAATTGATACGTTTTTTATGTTTGAATGAACAAAAATGAAAACACATTCCAAGCTGGTTTTTACATATGGTATGCTACTGCTCTTAAAAAAAAACTCAAAATAAACAAATTTCTATTAAAGAAAAAAATTCTACTGCAACTGTTATAGCTTTGCTTTCAACACCTGCCTCATTCAAACTAAATGAGCTTCGTGGGTTTTAGATCTGAGGTGTCTGTGCTCAAGCAATCTTTTGGATTCTAATCTTATAATATTGTTCAGTATTTACCATCCTGCCGGACGAAAGCTCAACAAAGCAACTGAGCAGTCTTTAGTGATCTTTTTAATTCCCACTCTAGAATAAATAAGATAATAAAGCCATGCCCTGATGAAGCAGCAGGGTTTGTTGTGTTTACATAGCTTGTTTGTAGAAAAAAGTTTGAGCGCATGTAATTATAGTTTTAAAGTACCTGTGATGAGCTGCAACGGGAGTAGAGCTGGGTTTATCCTTCAGTAGATCCACAACAAGACTGTCATCAGCAAAGCCACCAAGTTCCCCTGTCACCCAGTCAGGGAGACCTCTGTTGCTTTGCTCCGCAAACCGACCGCTCAGTGGTTCATCAAAGTAGATCGTCTAGAAATTGAAGAAGAATTCGGAAGAACTTTTATTCACAAGCTATCTGTTTATTCACTTTTCTGCAATAGCAATTACAGCTGCACAGGGCACATGAGCCAGACAAAGGCTAACAGTTAAGAAATATCTAGGATTTGTTCATGAGAGTTCTCTTACCATGTAGGCAGGAAGTGTCTTAAGACTTCCAGGCTCTGGTTTGCTGGTGAAAGGCCTCTCTAGCACACCTTTTTTGAGCATATGGAGGAGCAAACGGGCATAAATGTTGCGGTTCTTCCGACCTAACAGACCTGACCCGTGTGAGGCTGGGTCACACAGCTTCTTTATCCATACTGCACAACGCTGGCGTTCTGAAATTTTGTTGAGAAAGGACAAGCTCTATTAGATTAAGTTATTGAACCAGAACAAAACATAACTCACAATTCAGTTGCCTGCATAAAGTTGTAAAGTTTGTCCACCTCCAATGAGTGTGTTTTGCCTCTACCTTCTTTTTCTAACAACTTTAATAAAGATTAAAATCCAAAGGACTAGGTTACATAAGAGATTTTTAAAATCAAGCCTGAGTAATATTAACTTTGGTGGGATTGAGTGGATTATTTAAAAAATGCTACTACTTAGTTACTGAGAATAAAGCAATTATGCTAAAATGATAATCTTGAAATTTTGATCATATCTCAATAAAAAGATATGTTGTATAAGAATGCACTCCCTTGTGTGGAGTAAATACTGTAAAACAATGCAATACGATCTCACCTGCCCTGATAGGGTGCTTAAGCACATATGGCTTCATTTCCAGTAGAAAGTGGTCAAACTCGTGATCGAGGTCCTCACAGGAGTCTCCACGGTTGTTCATAGTGATCTTAGAGAAATAATATAAACAGCAAGCGAGATGTTGGGTCGCAATTCACATTCACAAAACCGTTTATCAGCTTTGTCAACGATAACTACTTAGGCAGCTTATTCATGATGATTTCAGTCAAATACAAGGCCGTGGACTTTGCATAAGCAGGTTATTATAATTTGCCGTGACATAGCATCTTCAGTTATATAGCAGTGTTGACAAAGTGGCCAGATCCCAGAGTGTAAACAGTGCCTGGCTCGGTGCATCAACAAACTAGCTACACGTTATGTTAGCTAAGCTAAAGCGAAGCACTTTAGCTACAGGACTTCTTCGTGTTGTTTCTCCTCCCTTTTATGAACAGATCGATAACCCGCCAATACGGGACATAAAGTGTGAAAAAGTCCAATATTAACTGATAAAGGCACTACCTTTAGCACGGTCTTCGCCGCTCTATTTATTTAAAACTTTAGCGTCCTCACTCTACGCAACATCCGTTTCCGAGGAGACGCGTCTCCTTCTTCTTCTTCTACTTCTTCTTCTTCGTCTTCTGATGGGTCCAGTCTCTAACAACCTCAGACGTTTCTCTACCATATTCAGTATTGAAAAAGAAAGCTTTATTAACATACATACATTGCGTATATCCTTTTTTTTGGGTCGTTATCATTGACTATTAGTAACTTTATTCAGTAATGTTTTTCTCTTCTGGGTCATATAAAATGTTCATAAGTGTCAACCTGTTGCATGAATGACAATATAATTGAATTAAAAATTCAAAGAATAAATAGATATATAGAAGCAATTTGATATTTTCCTGTATATGTATACAACGTTTAACCTGTTTTTTTTAAATATACATATTTTACAAATATGCCTTATCTGCTTCCCCAATTAAGCCTGATGACGTTTGCTAACGTATTGATTAGAGAATCGAATTCGTTTGTTTTATTTCACATACATATATTTTTCTATAGCGAGACTAGATAACATTCACTGACCATATTGATGTTTGCCTCTTTCACTCTTCTGCAACTATATCTTATAGACGGTCTAAAAAAAGTCCACATGAAGTTAAGTCCACATAAAGTCCACATGATGACGCTCGAGGCCTGCAGTTCAGGGGATATTTCAGAGGGATGGGGAAGATGCTGCGTTCACGTACCCCTCGTATGTGTACGCTCTCGTCTTCCTCAAAGAGGCATAATTTAGTAGTTATGACATGTTGCAAACACCAATTAGTTCGTTATACATCAGTGGAAAATATATAAAGAATTTGAATAAATGCCACATTTCCAGCCAATAAATGTTTGTGCAAAACAAAGGTAAAAACAGACGTTAAAGTTTAAAAAACAAACTAGGACGATTAAAATTAGTTTTAAAAACTAGGGATACCGAAAATCTTGGTGCTTTTGATGCTACTACAAATACGGGATACTGACTTTGGACAATGATTATCTTTTTTGGTCTACATTAAAGTGCATTTTATGTTCTATTCTAATGTCTACCGCCCGTCATAACGCATATAGTGTTCCTTAAATACAAAACTGTCTAAAAGAGCATCCCGCATTTTCAACATACACTGTAATTGTCAGCTTGACTGAAATGATACATTCCCACAGTACGTAAAAGCAAGCTTCTTTAACGTCACTCGGAATGAAAAAGAAGCGCTCAGCTGTAGCTCAGGCAGAGGGGACTAGTGCAGTCCGGCAGCCTCAGGAACACACCACACACACCGGGAGCGGCAGACAGCGGGACTAAAGTTGAGATTGTTCCCTTTTAACATGGCTGATCACCTTTTACATTATAACGACTCGGCTGGGGCTGGGAACAGATTCGCCCGCAAAGGTGCTTTGCGACAGAAAAATGTGCATGAAGTGAAAAACCACAAATTTACAGCCAGATTTTTTAAGCAGCCAACGTTCTGCAGCCACTGCACAGACTTCATATGGTGAGTAGATTACTGGTTTATTAAGCTTAGATAAGTTTATGCAAGCGCAAGTTTTTTTTTTTTTTTTTAACTGAAAATTGTCTTGTTACAGGGGTTTTGGCAAACAAGGATTTCAGTGTCAAGGTAAGATCACCTGCATGTGCTTTTCAGTCAAGATGGCATGTTTACTCACTTGAATTGTGCGATTTTCATTTCCTAAACAGTACTTTTACAGCTTAGACTGCTTGTCAGATCCAAATCAAGTTGCAAGAGAAGCCAAGTCAATATTTCATTTTAAAGGTTTTTTTATTTTATTTTTATGTCTTGCATACAACTTTCCACACAGAGACCCAACCTGTAGAAGGAATGGCACAGCAATTAGTCATTTTAAGTCAACCAAATTAAATCCTGAACTTTTACTGTACAAATTGATTATACATACCTTTTAGGGTTTCTTCACACCGTTTGAAGCCTTCACATTTTTCACCTTTTTGTTCGGTACATAAGTGGTTTTGGATGCACTATACCTTCCATGCTGGTAAGCGTTTTTGGACCGGAAGATAAACTTCTTGGGGCGCGGTTCAGGACTGGGGGGTTGGTAAGCTTTTGGGGGGACTGCCAGTCCCTGAGGAATGCTCGCCATCTGCATGGTCATCCAGTTCGGTAGCTGAGGGCCCATTTGGGCCAAGTCAAGAACCTCATTGCCAAACATGTTAGTGAAGGGCGGCATCATCATCCAGGTTGGAGATTGGAATCTTGCTGAGCTTTGCAGAGTGGGTTTCCTTTGTGGAGAAGCATATGCAGTTGGCCTGCTAACATAACCCTGTCTGTACCCTCCAGCAGCAGCTGGACTTTGAGGCCTAGCGCCGACGGTGGGCTTTTGAACGGCAGGTTTTGGTGGGACAAAGTTGTAAGCCACACGAGAGCCAGCATCAATATCATTCCCCTGGTCAAATCTTCCAGCAGGATAGTTTTGAGGTTTGGCTGTCACTGTGGAATATCTAGCAGGACTATAAGGTTGCGAGACATAGGGACCAATTTCATTACTGTGGCTGTAACTCGTAGCAGCATTAGAAGCCAAAGGGAGCTCATTCACAGAGGGATAGGGGTAAACTGGTTTTAGTGTGGCAACATACTCAGTTGGAGATCCTTGGCCAAGCGCCTCTGCTGCATTAGAAGCCTGAGGAGCAGGATAAACAACCCTGGAGCTTTGAAATCCTTGGACCGCAGGAGGGGGGGTGCTACTTGAACCAGGGTTTACCATCTGGAATCTGGAACTCAGAATTGAGTCAGTGTCCACATTGCCGCCAGGATACCAAGATTCCAATCCACCTGCAGACAAGTGCAGAGGGGTTGAAGCCTGTGGTGGCCTGTAGCCAGTCGCAATGTTTGATGAGACAGAGTTGCTGCTTGAGGAGACAAGTGGTGTCGACTGAGGTTTTGGGGCTTCCATCTGGTTCCCGCTGCTTAAAGGAAAGGTAATTGGCTCAAATTGTGTCGATCCCCAGCGTCTATTCTCAGCATTCAAAATCTTTTCCACGTCAGGGGTGTTTTGTGCATTGGTCAGGGGCTGCCGAGTTGGGATCAGATTCAGTGGCTGCACTACTGGAGGTTTGTTTGAGCTTGGGTAGACATGGGTGGTTGGCTTGTCATCTGAAAGCTCATTATCCTGATCTCCAAAATCATCTGCTACATCAGATTCAAGGTTCTTAGTGGCAGCAGAGAGCCTAAATTTTCCTGCAAAGGAGGAAAGAGAAAGAAAATTAAGCATTTCCTTTCATTATTGGCACACAAATCCACTTCACCCATACCTGTTGTAGCAGAATAAACAGCACTGCTATCCAAAAGCAGACAAGTCCATGCAACCCTATAAGCAACAAATACAAATTGACATCTTTAAATGAGCAGTGAGTACTGACAACCACAAACAAGTAATAAACAATAAAAACATACCACAAAAGGATTCCACGTGCCATGGCTCTTTGCTGAGAAGTCCCAACCAATACTTCTCAGATGCTATGGCTTGAGAAAGCACAAGATAATTGTCGACTTGAAGGAAGCCTGTACTTCTGGAGTGTTTTACTCTTGTTTATATATGTTCCCAAGTTGTGCTCGGCAGGACCACAAGCAGCTGCGGCTCATAGAGCAATGAGTGGGGATTGCTGTCAGGTGTGGCAGCTCATCACCAGTTTGCAGTAAGTGAATGAGAGAAATTAACTGTTCTAATTACTACTGAGGTTGTCCTTTGTTGAACAATCAACAATTTAACAAAATAACTTATTAAATAATAGGTAAGAAAAGAGAATGAATGATCCTATTTGGAAAATGTCATTCAGTGACAAAAAGATATTAAAAGAAGCTCAGTTTTGTCAGCATTTGCAATAAATATTATGTATGTATGTATTAAGTGTTTTAATGGCCTCATTTAATGCATTCTTATCACAATGAAATGTTACTGTATTAATAAGGTTGATAGAGAAAAAGACACTAAAGGGAAAGACATTGGTGTCATACTGACTTGCTTGCTAAATTGCGTGTTGAGTGTTAAAGTTGTGAGCTGGCTGACATTTATAGTAGCGAACAGGTATGATAACTGGCAGAGGAATTTTCTATCTAGTCAGCTCTGGGGTTAATTGCGCAAACTCAAGTGTGACAAATAGTAAGAAGCCGGTGAACCCACCAACAGTCTCCCTTGCAGGATTACTTGTCTGTGATGGCATCTTTACACCAAAGTTCCTGACATCTGTGTGAACACATGCAAACAAGTGGAATTCTGCAGGGTCATGTTACACACCGAAGCTGCTTTGGGATGATCTATGTGATTTTAAGTGGCCTCCAACACATGTGTTGAATATTTCACATCCACCATGAGTGCCTTTGAAACATTTGTAATTCTAAGCTATACATTTCAAAAGTCTAATTCCTTCAGGAGGTTATTTGTATGGATATGTGTTCCTGCTTTCATACATATTCTAAATGTCCCTGCATGCACAAAATTATATTCGGATTAGAAAATAAAACAATGAAAAATACTTCCTGTTTAATATTTTCCACAGAGAGGCAGTTTTAGTTCATTTACCACTGCTAGTTTACACTTCATCTGAGTAATATGAGTGCAGCCTCAATGCAGGGTAACAGATCTTCTCTTTTGGATGGTGACAGACCTTGTTCTTGTATATTGGGCATGAGAAATGCCCTGCCCTTTGGAGAGTTGTACGGATGTGGTCCACAGAGAGCCGGCATAGATGTACTAAAGCCTGTGTATTTATTTTCTAACCTTTTGGAACAAAACAAAGGCATGGACATTATTATCAAGGGTCCTTCACACACCCACCTGAGGGAGTCTTTCACTTGTTTCTATCCATGAATGGAAACTCGCACTCACAGCCTAATTGCTGTCTATCTTTAAAATGGCTTCTCCAATGCAGGAATGTGAGGTCAAATCCTGACAGTTACGGTGATGCGTGTATCCACGTTGCCAAAGGTGACACTGTGACATGTTTGAGGCACAGCTGACTGGAAGTTACTCAAAAGGTGATGAAGCAGTGCCCCTGCTATCTCTTGTCTGGATCCATTTTCCAGCATAGCTGAGAGCAGTGTATGGATTCGTGGGCGTGAGCAGATTAAGGGCTTCCTCGAGCTTTCTAGTGAGCATTAAAAAGCCAGATAGAATTTGTTTTTTATTCTCCTGTGATTATTCACCTCTACTGCTCAGCCGCACATAGTGGAGGACTGTTAAAGTAGGACCGTGTGAGAGGAAATTTCTTTATTTCTGAAGGGAATTATGTGGGTGGTGGATGAAGCTCCTACAAATCCCTGGGCTGTGACTGCCCTACCTCTTTATTGTTAGATGCTTTTGTCCCCCAGTTGAATTATAAGACACATTTTACAGAATTATGGATGAATTGATCATTTGATGAGTGAGATTTTCACCTGTCTTTTTAAGAATGGTACATTTGCCATGTTTGAGTTCCTGAATAGTCAGAGATCCTTCAGCTTCACTTTACATTGGATTGGATTAACACATAGATGTTTTGCTCTCTTGTTGGCTGAGGCACGATCTGCTGTGGAGCTGCAGATACTGTGGCACATGCTGTGTTCTATTCTACACTATTATTCTATTCTCTCTCTCTCTTTCTCTCTCTCTCTCTCTCTCGCACTGTCCTTGCATTTTTTTTCTGATGTGTCAATAGTTTGTAATTTCTCTAAAATATTTCCATTCTCCATTACTTTGATTTTGACAGAATATCCTTTGAGGGACACATTTATTGGGTAAAACACCTAAAAACATAAACCAACATATTGTGATTCTATTGCGTGGACCAAAACTACTCATTTACATACTCTATGTGTCAATCAACGTCACAATGTTTGTGCTTGAGCTAACAAGTTTTTCACATTGAAAATAATATGGATGTGAGAGAGAATGAGTGTGTTTCCACATTAGATCATTTGCCACCATTGTGGATGCTCTGCTCTGCCCCTTTGCTCTCCCACCCACCCATGTTCTTCAGCCTTTGAAGTTGAGTGTCTGTGGGAAATGATGGTGCCATCTGGAGAATTGAGAGTCCATTGCTTGAAGGAGAGGTCTCTGTCTGGACACAAAAAAAATGAAGAGCTAGAGGGAGATGCAGTTTGAAGGAGAAAATGCAAAGAAATACAGTGTAAAAAGAAGCTTAAAGGTTCATGTTTAAGTGGCATTTGCTCTTGCATGAATGGGAATATGATGTTGAAGAGCTAATTACGTCTAAAGGGGCTTATACGTATTTCGATTTCTTGATTTTGGTGCATGTAATCAAGATGCCCAGATGCTCCATTCCACTTTTGTCTTCTCCCTCATCTGATGTTAATGTCACTGTTTCAAGCTGTATTTTGTGCTAACAGAGAAGTTTGTTCTCCTTTAAGGCATGTGGTGTGTATCTAATTTAAAAAAAATTGTAAATAACTAAAATTAAAATTCTAAATACTTAATCTTGTACACTTCATCCACCTCTAATTGGCAACGCCCTCTACTGGCCGGGTTCTAGGACTTCTAAAACAATCTCTTTTGTCAAACTGAAAGACATTGGATTAGCACAACAGTTCCGCTTTGGAAGTGTAAGGAAAAAATACTCCAGTGACGATGAATGGCCTTGTGTGATAATACTGCCTTGTCAGCAAAAACCTTTCTGGCTAATTGTGTTACACTGGTTCTTTGTAGTGAATCTCTTGACTGATTTTTCAATTGCTGAGTTGGATATTTATTTTAATATTTAAGCCTCCAGTTTTCAACACCTCACTTGAATGATAAGAAGAACGCTTGAGATGTTTTGAAGATATATCGATTTGATGTTCACCGTGAAAAAACTGTCATGTTTTAAAGGTATTGATCTGAAAAATATCACAGAGATTTGCTCAGAGGCAGCTCAGGAGTGGGTTCTCTCATTTCCTGTCCTTATGTCTTTAGCATTGGGTGTAGGTTGCTCCATCTCTCTGTGGGATATTTGTGAACGGTGTAGGTGCCATCATGCGTGTGTCAGTTTGTATGACGAAAGCTGAAAAGCCTCCAAACAAGAGACTGCCACAGAACCGTGATGTCGGCGTAGGTGTCAAGCCTATCACTCAGAGAGGACGAATGGACCTCATTAACCAATCAAGCAGCAGAAGTGTGGGAGTGTTGAAATACAAGAGCAAGAGCTTTGCAACTCCAGATGGGGAGCCCCAAACAATAAACATCTTACAGCAGCATTTTACTGCTCACGAATGAGGCTGTAACCCACTGAATGGTCGTTCTGCTCCACTCCGCTATGTGCGCAGAGATGGCCTGGATATGTTAATTAACTGAATTTTGCCTGGGCTGTTTCATAAAACAGATCTAAGCTTTGTTACTTTATCTTTTTCTTAGAATGAATAATCTCATCTGCAGTCTGTGGGTGTTTTTCTGACTCTTTCTCTGCCACAGAAAAGAGCACACACTTCAAAATGTAATATTTTTTAGGTAATTAATGCCATGGAGTAAAGGTTAAGACTCTAAGGCTTTCCTATTTCAGCAGGGAAGAAACCACAAACACCACTGACACCTGGCCCCTTTACAGGCAGCAGCAGCCCTCCACAAACACACGTCTGCTGAATAATATGTAGAACTGTCTGATGAAAACATATGGCTCTCCCTGCCTCCAATTGCTGATGAACCTCGTTTGTAATTGAAAAATCTTAAATGATTTCTTAGCAGACGTAAGAAGCTGGCGGCAGCCCTTTCAATCTCACTTCAATCTTCCTTTCACAGATCAGTTCAAAGTCATCAAGCTCACCACTGAGGACGTGTCTGCTTGGGACTAATTAAAAGGGCTGAAATCACTGAACATTCTTTAATACGTGAGCGATTTTAAACCCTCTCCCAGCTCAATGGCATTAATTAACACCAAGAGTGGAAGCTTAGCTGGCCGGGTAATTATGTGTAATTCTACCTCTGCTGGTCTCTGCTTCACATTTAAAATGTCCCCTTCTGCTACTCGGTATAGGCTCCCTCCTTTCCGTTGCTTCTCTGTCACCTCTCCTTTCTCTACACACTGCTTGTATACTGTGGCAACAAAGTGGGCCATTTCCATGTTGTTATCATGGTAACAGCTCGAGGTAATGTCTGATTGTCTTTGAAAATATCACATGCGCTCCCTTTGATTTTTTCCCCTTGATTGTGTACTTGCTGAATTAAAACAATCAGAAAGAATTAATTTAATGATTTGAAGAGTCCGACAGGATTCACATGAATTTTACCTTACAAGAAAATCCATTTGACTTGCACCACCTGGAGACGTTTTAAGGTACCACTCAGCACAATTATAGTGGATATTTTCCATTTTCTTTCCCCTTGTGCTTCAAAGGCCACCGAAGTCGCACACTGTCTAGAAATTTTATAACTCTCTGCTGAACTGCTAACTTGTCAGAGTGAATTGTTGAACTTCAGTAACATGTGCCCAAAAGGCTTTTTTTGTATCCATGTGTCAGCTAGTTCCCACTAAATATAGAGCAATACAAGAGTTTTCTCCATGTCACCTTAAGAGGATTGCCAGTCACAGCTTTAGACAAAATGGGAGTATAAGGAGGAAACACAACTGGGA